GTGACGTTCGTGTCACAGGTCTTCCTTCTCACGAATGGACACGTGTCCATATACGTGGCACTTTTATTACTTACCTTTATCTTTAAATTGGATTAGGTAGGTGGGCTTTCTTTAAAATGAAGTTGTAAATGGGGGAAGATTGGACTTTATTTTCACTGTTTGTAATAGCCCGTTTGGGCTTTTCATCTCAATAAAAATGACAATGGCCGACAAAAAAAAAAAAAAATGGAAAAACTTTTAGAAAAGTCTATAAACCATAATGGGGACTCATAAGCCCATTTGAATGGGCTTGAATTTGATGATTGAAAAAGCAATGGCAATTATGTTTTTAATTTCCATCTTTTCCGTAAACATGATAGTTTAACTGTTAGTGGCCGGAATTTGAAAATTTATAGAAAGTTTTAAAGTACTGTGAATTTGAAATCCGATTATCAGTCTATACTTTTTTAGAATCATGTATCTAAGCTTATATATTCGATGAACATTGATTATGCACATGGATGTCGTATTTGTATGCCAGCTTTATCTATAGAAGGGCATATAAAACGCAGCGTTTTTGGAAAGTCACATTCAAACCGCAAAACTTTATTAATCAAGTCTATATAACAAAAAGAAAGATACTACGTACTTGGACAAATGGTTCGGCTCATCAGTCTCTACAAGTGATACTAACCATCCGAGAAAACATTAATTAATGTAACAAAATCGAAAGACAAGAAACCAATACTGAGAATATAATATCAAAGGACAAAGGAAGTTGTTCCCACTTTCCATCTTCTTAACCTGAACTTTGGGGAATTGGGACCCAAAAACCTTCTTCATTGACCATCCATTTTTGCTATTCTAAATAATTATTTCTCTCAACCATTTCCTCCTTCAATGCATTACATCAACATTTCTTTTACATTATAAACCGTTGTGTAAGATTTTCTTTTTTTGGTCAATTAGTATCTGTACAGTTTCATGTAACATTGGATTTACAAGATACAAGATTATATCTGAGAGAGAAATTTAGCTTGACCTTGGTTAGAAGATATATTAAGAGTAATTAAGGTGTTTGTATTTCAATCACTAAAGAGATATTTCTGTTTCAATTAGTGCTACAATGTGGAGAAAATGATTTTCGTTTTTATGGAGATATTAGAAGTACTATCAATAACATTGGCTTCAGACTAAAAACTTCTAAGTTTAAAATAATGTATATATCTTTGTATCATAGTGTAATTTAAGGAAGTGAAAAGGTAAAACTATGTCTCAAAAATACTATTCTCGCTTTTTCGTTTTAATATTTTTGGTTTCCTTGTAGTCTGCTTCTCATGTCCCCCGGTCCACCTGACACTGCATGTATAAAAAATAATAAATTCCAAATCCATTATTTTATCTGTTTTAGAATAAAAATGGATATTTTCCACGCAAAAGATTTTCTTTTTTTAGTTTGAGTTTAACAAAAAGAAGAAACTTGTAGTTATAAAATTAATATAGATAGATACAGACACTCTCTTATATATGGATGATCATATAAAGATACAATACAGTAGATGAATGTTCAGTTTCCCATACCTTTATTTATTTTTATTGGCCATTATAATTGTTCCAGCCAAAGTGAGACTTATTCAAAAGGGGTTGCTTTCAAAAGCTCATCTCTCTCTCTCTCTCTCTCTGAATCTGCTGATCTCATCACTACTTACCATCTTTTACTCCATCAAAAAATCCTCAACAACACTCCAAAAACAAAAACCCACCTCCCCAAAACTGAAACAAACAAACAAAAATTCTCTATTGATCTCTTTCTCTGGAAGTCAGATTCGAAACTCAGAAATAATGTATCCTACAAGTCCACATCATTGGAGAAAAAGATTATCAATAAACGCACAAGCTCTTCTTCTTTTGATTCTCTGCCTCTTCTTCATTCACCACTGCGACGCCTCGAGATTCTCGTCATCAAGCGTTTTCTACAGAAACCCTAATTATGATCACAACAATAACTCGATGAGGAGAGGCCATTTCTTAGGATTCTTGCCAAGACACTTGCCAGTTCCAGCTTCTGCTCCTTCACGAAAACACAACGACGTTGGTATTCAAGCCTTGTTGTCTCCATGATCACTCTCTCTCTCTCTGTCTAGATATATAGTACTATATTTATAATTAATGCATGCACTCATACACAAAGAGTACAAGACCATTCATCGATCTCCGATGTTTGCTTTGACATGAAATTAGGGTTTCAGATGTTTGACCCGACCCCTTTAATTGTTCCTCGATCTTTTGATTATTTTTGGTTTGCATGTAACCTATTTTAGAGTAGATGTGAGAGATCTTGTGATTAGGTTTGGGTTTTGTTATTTTCTCACTCTTCTTCTTCTTCTTCTTCTTTTTTTTTTGTATATGTAAATCAAGTTTACGAGATGAGATATTAGATGCAACAATCTCGTTACTTCAATGCCTAAATTTACATATCTCGTTTTTTCACCTAATTAATCAAGGGCAATTCTCATTAATCATTTTATTGATTTCTAATAATATATCAAAGCTGTTGATAATACTCAATTTATAAAAAGTTTAACTGGTTAAAAATGGAAAATCATTGTCTTTTATAAAGTTCACAAAGAAAGACCAACAACTTCATTACCGTCTAGAGAACACCGTGGGTCATCTTTTACTCGTTCAACCAATGAGATATGAAAGGAAGAAATTCTGTCTTTAAAAATTGTTACACTACTTTGTTTCTTTTTTTTTTTGCAAAGAGTTATACACTACTCCAATATTTTTTGCTAGACTACTGTATACTGGAGTACATTATAATAAATAGTGAAACAGATCAACAGTTGGCAATGCACGAAGCTACTGTTATATTATAGTGAAAGAAAGATAGAGAGAGTGATGAAATAAGATAGCCAAAAAATCACGCAAGGTTGAGTTATTAACGTAAAATCGTAAAAATAATAATAGCCTTCGTCATGTACAGAGTATCCAATTACCCATCCCGCCACGCCCGGATTGATTTGACACTCGTTTACAATTTTGAGTATTCTGATGATCTAAATTTATTTATTTTTTAATTTTTATTTTATTTTCTCAGTTAAACTAAAGTTACATTAAAATTCACAACCAGATATTGTACTGGACAAATTAAAATACAAAAATTTCACCTTTTGCCAAAAAAAAAAAAAAAAACAAACTCCTGAGGAAAATATCACATAAACAGTCTATAATTTGTAGTCAAACAGGCTTTTAAACGAAAATTTAGATTTGTTTAAGAAAGCCAGAGATCTAACAAAGACTATGAACGTATAATATAACCAATTAAATTTTCTTAACTATTTCTTTTACCACCGAAAGTTCAAATAAAATTTATAGATGTATGTATAAATTACATTTTCCACTTCAAGTTCTTTATGGTTTGATGGAGAACATGATTAAGATTAATTATAATATATCATAGAATTTAAAAAGATCATTTTACAATATTAGACAAGAAGCCGAAAGATGTGCCGTTTTTAACAAAAAAGTTAAGCTTAATTTTTCGCCGAAGGTTCTTATCCATTAATGAAAAAGTAGTAAACCAAAACTCTATAATTTAACCAAGATTACAATTTCTTCTTTTTGCATTTGATTAGTTTCGTATCTTCCTATCTTTCATCAAATTACATTAACGTATATCACTATCTAATTATATCTCGAACAATTATGAAAATGATGACTCTTTTAATTGGACGAGAAAATGGCCAACACCGCATGATTTGTAGAATATGATGAGGATAATGGTATTACACGTTAAATCTAAAAAAATAATCATATTATTATCCGATAATTCCGCAATCGATTCTAAAATTACTAAGAGAAATATTAACCACTACTTTTTTCTAACTGTACTTTATTTAATCAAATAACACAAATTTAAAGTGATCACTCCTGCCGTCAAAAAAAAAAAAAGTGATCGATCACTCCTATATGTGCCACGTATCCACCAAATATTTAACATAATTGATAAACTAACAAAAGTATTCACTACTACTATCAAGTACTCCTAACATTTAGATCGATAATTCTTTGATGTGCTTTTCAAAGTTTCATTCCTAACATTTATACAAGATGAACAAAACGTATGATGAATCTGGTTATAAGAACATGAACAAGATGGTTCAATTGTAATGTGTCCAAAAGCATTTTATATCTTAGTGGAAACCTTAGCTTAAGTGATTTGTTGCTTGATCTCTCAAGTACTTTTTGGTGGAAGCAAACCCGTAAATTGGTTTTCTTCCAAGTTTTTGCAGAAATACACACATAAGCCATATGAGTATCACTTGCTTTATAACCATATATATGAGTATAAATGAAATCTCTGGACAAGCTATGGCATGACTTACAAAAATCAGTTAAACTCGGTAAATAGGTGAAGCAATCAAGAACATTTCCTTTTAGTCTGTTGTTTGACAAACCGCTAAAACAAAGATTGGTTGCGTACGTAGATTTGAGCTCACAAACTCTGTACACCTCTTCAGTATGTTCATAGCATTAAACAAATAAACTCACCAATGTTGTCTTAGAAACATGTACAAAGACTGAAAGCACATAACAGAGATGAGTTTAGGAAAATTCTAACAAGTGAACGATTTTTCGGAGGATTTTCACATAAGACCTTCCCCAAGAATAATATATAGCAACATGGATGTCCTTGCCAGTTCTTCTTCAACTCTGTACATGTCCTTAGTCTTCCTAATGAAATCCATTGAAGGACATGAAAACTACTTAATCTTCCTTGTCTAAGTAGCTTGTTCATTTTTCAACAAAAGAGAGAAAATTATTTGCTACCGTTGAATTGATATATGTAGGTAAACAGTCACAAACCATAGATAGTAAAGTCCAATTATCAAACATATAAAATCGTCAAGAGAACTAGACTCAGATTGAAACACATTGGATTAAAAGAAACTTGATCTAATTTCATAGAGTATCCGAGCTACAATGCATAAAAAGATTATTGCAACTAATTCAATCATATAAAGCACAACTGTTTATTTAATGAAAAAACTTTGGAAGACAAAAACACTTAAAGACGAAGTCACAAACTAAAAAAGTTGTTGTGAGGTGGCTGCAGCCAAGCGCTGCGGTTAGACAAATAGGTAGTGTAAGCGGGAAGAGAACATTTGACACAACCAAGGTAGTAAATGCCAAGTCTCCCATAGTCACCGATATGCGATGTATAGATTCTGTTCCTCTCCTCGGCTGAGAGACCAGCTCTTGTCAAAGAGGCAGCGTAACATGCAAATACTGTCAATCCACCAAGTCCTCTCATCTCTTCCCATACATTGCGTTCAAGGTTTAGTTTAAACACCAACTGTTTGCTGTTGTTTTTGCGGCGTGTAGTCATAACATAAATGTCTCCTTCATGCTCTGTCATGAACACTGGCCTCACGAGTTTATCGTTACGACGACGACTAAAGACCGGACAGGGGTTGACTGGAATAACATTCCAGGTTGCACCAGAGGGGTCGAAAACCCCGATGTTGCCGCTGGTACTTAGACAATAGAACATACCATTGGAGAAGTGGCATGTTACTGTTCCGTAACCATAAGACCGATTCGGAAAGCGACGAGTGGTCCATAGAGAATCACCAGGGCGCCAAGTATCAAGCACAACAAATACGTCCAAATTTTGTTGATAAGCGAAGGAGATAACGCAACAACTAGCTGATGTGGGAGCGGCTGAGAAAGTTAAGCAATGGCCTGTGAAATACCGTGGCAACTCGGGTAAGTAGATGCGCTCCCGGGTAAACGGGTTAAGAAAGAAGATCACATCGGAGGGGCTATCTTTCTTCACAAGCAACCAACCATCCCTAGAACAAGAGAATTTATGTTTATCGCCCTTTAACTCTGGAAACTTGAGCTGATATGTTTGAGAGTGTAATGGGTCAAAAAGAAGGTAGTCTCCCTCTTTCGATCCTCTCTGTGGATAAAAAAGCCAAGGACGACTCTGAAACTTCCTGACAGAAACAGCTTCTTTAAGCCATGTCTTGCAGACGAGAGAAGCTTGTATGTTGGCTTTTAATCCGAGGCGAGACAGTATCTCTTGCAGCAGATCGGTCGGAATCTTTTTATCCCACAATCCTCTGATACAGTTCTTCTTCTCTGATCCACCATTTCCTCTAATTATTAGAAGAAGAAGAGGTCAGGGTAATTTAAAGAGAAACATCTCATTCATGTTCGAATGTTATATCTACAAACTCTAATACGTGAAATCATTCGTTCGTGCTGCTCTTACAAAACCCTAATTCAGCTAAATCCTAGAATTTCAACTGAAAACAGAACAAAAGCAAAAGACTCACGATCTTGTCGCTGACGCTGGAAGCGCTTGAACTATGGGCCTCGCCGTGAGGAATTCAGGGATAGGCGGAGTTGCCGCCGGATATGTTTGCCGGCGCGTTCTCATTTTGGACTGAGCAGAGGGTTTTCGTCTTCTATATGAGAAATGGGTTTTGTTTTTGTTTTTATTTTTAGGTCTCTCTCAACATTCTAAGAAATTTTTTACATTTTTTTTAAATTGAATAAAATTAACGTCACTAAATTTAAATGAGCATAAACGCTTAAACTTAAGCATATTAACATATCACAAGAACCCAAATGTGTAAATATCAATATGTACAAAATTCTGAAACGCTCTAAATAAAAAATATTTAAAAACAAGGGTTTATTATTGGCAAATAAATACAGTTTCAGACAAGGAAAATCTTCTTCAGTCCTTTCTGCAGCATGATTTGACTCCGCAACACATCTTTCCTTCGACATAAAAATGGACAATCTCATCTTTCACATGCCTTTGAGCTATGCCAGTTCGCGAGCTTGATGATGACCATGACATGTATAATGTTTCCAAGGCTTCAACTGAGAACCCATTGTTGCTTAGGTCCAGAATCTGCAACTGGTTAGCCACTGCAAGAGCGATAGAAAGCTCTTTCACGATATGGTTCTTGCGTGGTAAACTAAGACTACTGGAGGTTGCAGTTCGTTCCTCTATTTGTTCATCTTCGCTGTCTGCAACTTCGAGATCATCACACTCCATATTGGTTTCACATAGCTCTTGTTCTTTGTCCATTGAGGTGACAGATTCACATGTTCCATGTTCTTGCTGTACCATTACTGAGCTTTCCTTCACAGGTTGGCCAAACACAGTCTCATCTATCTTAGCATTCTCAGAAAGATTAAGCTCTTCAAGATTCTTATTATCTGCAGAGCGCTTAGTTGTTAGTTTAAAAAGGAGAAGATATTTGGTTTAATAGCAGCTACAAGAATAGTTCAGACCTGAAAGTGCTTGAATTATGCATAGAACTCCAGCGAGCTTCAGATGACACTTGCATAGAATAAGGACTTTTATGTTTGAACAAGGATTCCTAAGCAGCTCCCCAAGTGCACTGATTCCCTGTTTGATTAATGTTTCAGAGAGCCAGTTATGCTTTGAGAAGACATGAACATAGAATCACGAGTTCGAATGATTGCAAAATTCTTTAGCCCTAACAAATTTTAGAGAAAAGAGCTTTAGGATGTTGAGGTCATAGAAAACATACCTCTTCGGTGATTGGATTTCCTCCAACATTAAGCTCAAGAATGCTAGAAGTTAGAGTAATATCTTGGTTGAGCTTAATAAAGAAAGGGGACGTTAGTCCACAACATGAAAGGTCGACCTTCACAGTTTCTTCCTTCTGATAACATAGAGATTCAGTGACTTTTATAGCTCCGTCCTAGAATAATTTGTATAGCATCGTCAGATAAAAAAGATGCATTTATCACAGTATAAAAATTCAATTTTGAATGTTTAGCATATCATTACCGTTCCTATTCCACTGCTGCCAACCAAAAGTTTTGACAGAGATGGAGTCTTAACAAGTGCGGAAAGGCTATCAACAACTTGACTGCTCAGCTTTATGCCATTCATGCTCAGTTCTGCAAAGCTGTAGTGGTTTAACATATGATTGTGTTAGATCGATTTACATACGTGGAGAAGTAAACAAAAAAATAGCTTTATGTTTTTCTTTCAACCTGCTTAGAGTAGCCAATTTAGCCAAGAGGTTTTGAATACTACTCCCTGAAACAGGATTATTATAACCTGCCATATACGGATACACCAACTTCAGCAAACTGAAACGAGATAAAAAAAAAATTGAATGTACATAACAAATTAGAAAGTTTACCTATACAGAGTTGTGAAAGTCCTGACTCCGAATCCAAAGCATTAGCAACTTTTTGGATTGTTCTTGATGTAAGTGAACAATGTTCCACATTCAAGCTGTAAAGTGCTAAGAAACAAAAGGGGCACATTAATGTAAGCCAGTGAATGGAAGATAAGAGTTTAATTATTAAACGTAATACTAGGTATTTCGTATATTTATCTACTGGGTTTATAAGACACCAGTGAAACCAAGAAACAAAACATACCATCAGAGCAATTAGATACTGTACATGAAATATCAAATTAAAAAAAAATTTAAAAACTATACCCCGGCAATTTTTCACTATAGTTGAGAGGTATGATCCACAAGCATCTGTAAGTCGATTCCTGGACACATTGAGGACTTCAAGCCGAGTGAACAGAACAGGGCATTCACAGATCTGGTAAAGAGGTGTATATTAAATAATACGAAAGAAAACATGAATATGTGAAATTTTCTAGCTTTGGGCCTAGTAGTGTACCTGAAACAAAGCAGTTGGACCAAATCGATTGCAGTGCAAATCCAAAGTTAAAGCACCATACATCTGGCTTGATGAGGCAAAGAGTTGTTTCAATTTCTCCATTGTTCCATTCCCTAACAATGAGACGATGGAAATTAAACCCTTTTGAATTTCCTAGTAGTTCCCTATGATATAACCAACTAACTAACTTAAGTCAGCTCATTAAACTAAATAAGACGTCAGAGGCAAACTATCACCTAGCATATTGTGGGAGAGATCCAACATAGCAACAGTATTGTGGACATGGAGGGCACACAATAATGGAGCAGCTGATATGTCTTGCAGTTCACATTCTGACACATTGATATCATCCTCTACCTGATAAACATACAAAGACATAACCATTCAGTTTATACATCAAATAAAGTAAGAATTTGTACCTAGCTTGCTTTAAGTAAGCTGAAAAGCAAACAAAGAGAAGAAACTATTTCATCCATTAACCAGTAAATTTGGGGTAATATTCTCACCTCCGAAATATATAATTTCTTAAGCAATTTCATACTGGGTTTCTCTGACAACGACTGGCAACAGTCCATGTATAGTTTCATCAGGCGCTTGTGAACCCAGCCTGAAACAAATTAATTACATAGCTGATTCAGCCGTGTGGTATAAATAAGAGGGAAGAATCAATGCTCATAATCTTAAAAGCCAATAAAGCGGTGCAGCCACAATCATGTAAAAAGTGAGAGAACAATTTGTGATGAAAACAAAATTATAGTAAAATCAGCTTGACAATCATACATTCGAATATCATGAGTAGATCCCATTTCTATCAAGAAAATACTTACCATTAATGGAAGCTTCAATAACAACATTTTGAGAAGAGCCCCTGAGAGTCGCATATAAATCCAATGGTTTCAGAACTCTTCCACCATATTCCAAATGATGAATGATCGGCAACAGACCTAATCGCAAATTGTATGTTCAAAGATTCAAAATTTTAGAGCCCAAAACTTTACTTAAAAATGTGCGATGAAACAAGGGGAATGATATTAAAAAGCAAAAAAAATTGTTAAGCATGAGATGAGAATTATAGAGCCTGATCCGAACTGGGATCATGCATTCAAGCTAAACTTTTGCTGAGAAAACAAAAAACTGCACATACCTTTAGCTTTCTCATCGACAGGAAGCTGTAAATAGTATAGGCAAGTAAGTTCCACCTTCACAGACTCATCATTGTGAGAACAGGAGTTTAAAGCTATGTGTTCATTTTCAATTTCAATTTTTATTTTTTGCTGCAACAAGTAAAACATATAGTTATCAGGAAGAAGAATGGACGAAATAGAAAAATAAATGAAATCCAATCCAATCAAGAATAGTCAATGATATCTCAAAAACCAGATCACGGTTGCTTACATCCTCAGTTTTTGAGTAAGCGTGGAAGTTCACGAGAGCAGCTCCAGTTTTGCAGTGCGTGCCGTTGGAGTCGCCAGCATCACATCGAGATCCTCTTTTACTACAACCAGTTGTTTCAACAGCTATATTGTTGCTCAAAGATCTACAATTGCTGACATTTGGAGCCACCTTAACGGGATGGAGAGGCGTATACGAGCAAGAACCTTCTTCTACATTATCTTGGATGGCACGATTATCCGTATAATTAACAGCACCATCAAAATACATACTTTCGTCAGAAACCTCCTCATTCTGCCTTAGAACTTTGTGAGAACTGTCTTTAGGGCATCCCAACTGATATTCGGTTTCACTTTCATCATCAGAGAGGATTACACGAACACGCTTGCGACCAACAACTGTCTGCTGAGAGTCTGCTACTATAGAGAAATCTTTCTTAGTCTGATCAGTGTCAACATCTTGTTTTCCTGAAACTTGTTTCCTTTTGAACAGACGTTTTCCAGGCTGGAGAAATGAAATTAGAGGCACATCATCATTTGCTTCATCCAGATCTGCTAACCGTTCTGATCTAAGTGAATTTGGTGTTTGGGGTTCTGGTGAGCTACATGCATTTGGCCTATCATTTGATATATTCCCATGCCCTTCTGACTCGGTTTCAGAGCATTCATCTTGCGTACTACATTCGGCTTTCTCAGCATGTTCTGACTCCTTCAGATTTTGTATTTTGTCCTTCAATTCCCTAAACAGTAGAATAATATATATGAGAAAAATAAAATATTTGAAACTGCAAACCTTACTCCAGAGTCCAGATGTGGTTTCTATCCATATTCCGTCCAGTGACAACACAGTAAATATTACCTGGCTTTTTGAGCATTCCCAAATCTCATCATATGGCTATAGTGCATATGATCCAGTGCAGTAAGCTGAATTGAAGGAAGATTAGCTTTCAAAGCAATTCTGCAGGATCACATGAAAATAAATCCAAAAAAGAACAATAGTTAATTTATTAGCATGCAGTATGTATGTATAAATTCACGTCCATGTATATGCGATGTGTTTGAATATAGCAGAAGAAAGTCACAGAAAAATATAACAAGTGATTGAAAAGGCAAAATGTGCTACAATTATCCACAATGATCATGAAAAGTACGGATTCAAAGTACATTGTATTATTTATTCATAAGCCATAGTGCAGTAATTCATGAACTTAAGTCGAAAGGGAAAACCAACAAGCAGTTAATTATATCACATTCACATTTGCTCTGCTTCAAGTTTTCTTTCAATTTTTAAAAATAAATTAGATCTTCAGCTCCGTCATATTGTTCAATGGAATTGTCAATTTTCTCAAGGAAGATTAATAAGTAGATTTACTAAGACTGAATCACAACAGAACCACTTAACACCTCAAGTGCGCAGTTTGATAGAGATCACAAATAATTGGATCTACCTGTATCCCTCTTCATATGCCTGGAGTGCTCCTGTCCATTCCCCAATACAGTCCAAACCATTACCAATATTAATTTTCGCTAGCGCTTGACCCTACAAGAGACCACCATAAGTGAAAATTAGAATCAGGAAAGAAGAATAGCTATAATACTGACAAATCCAAGAAAAGGTATAATTAGTTTTCCGCAGAAAATGTTCAGTATAGGCCTCATGAATTATGTCTGGTGTTGTGAATCAAATTCTGATGAAAATAGTGAAACATAAGTTTTAATAATGAATCGTGCAAGCAAACAAATCTCACCTCCAGATTACCGATTGCTTCATATCCCTCATAACTTCTATTGAACCACTTCAGGGACTTTCTGAAATTTCTGAGATTTTGGTAAGATTCTCCAACAATCAAGAAGGCATCACTAAGCTTTTCCTTGTCACAGAGTTCATCTGATATTTTCTTCTTCCTTTTTGAAAATTGAAGATGCTAAGACATTCAAAGAAGAAATAGCAACCTTTTAGTTGCATGCAAAGTTTAAATAGCAGCTTCCTACTTAAACTTTCAAAACTATATCACAAGTCATTGAAACAGTGGTGCAGAGACTTGGATCATATTTTGCTCAATATCCGTATGATACAGAATAAACATAGTTTTGCCCCTTTAATCTAACATAATAACTTTACTTTGCAATTTTAGAACTAAAATAGTATCCCAGCATTCAAAAGATATGTTTTCTAGAGAGAACAAGAATCATGTAATTCTTGGATAATATAGTCTTCCTGACTGATCTGAAAAGACAGTGTCAATAGCAGAAGTTCACAAAACTTGAATCAGTGACTGATTATCAGTCTAAGAAAAGAGCATATCTTTCCTACTCCATAGTACCCTGATGAAATCTTACAATGCTTATTCATCATTAAAAACCCCTACGATGGACAACTTTAACTTCTGGAAACTTTTCAAAAAAATGCCAACATGTGGTGGAGTGTTGGGACTAAAAAGGAAGGAGTGTTTAAGTAATAAAACTCACCTTCAGCCATGCGGATACCATGCTAGATTTATCAATAAGACGTCCAAGACAAGCATGTACTTGGAGCATAGACTTTCGTTCCTCCGAAGTGCCTTTGGCATCAGTCATTTCTGCAGACAACTTCTTAAGCATAAGCTCTTCTTCTCTCAATTCTTCCATAACTTTAATGGATTTCTTGACTACCTTGATATTATCCTCTATCTGTTCAACCAATGCACTCTCGTCTTGCATAGATTTCGCTAGAGTAGAAGCTTTACCATAACATAAAAGTGCATCATTGTACTTTTGGGTCTTGTTGTGTAATTCAGCTAGATTGATATACCCCTTGGCTTCTCCTTGGACATGATTGATCTTATGACAGATATTAATATCCATCTCGATGTGTTTCTTTGCTTCATCCCAACTTCTCAGCGCCATAAAAACATTTCCAAGGTTATGATGAAGCCTACTCCGGGCAGCATCATATTCTCTCACCTCCTCTTCATCGCAAATCTGCAGTCCTTTCTTGAGAATACTACAAGCTGCTTCAGGATTATCAAGATCAAGGTCAAGCATACCGATGTTGTTATGTGCATTAATATATTCCTCAAGAAATCCGCTAGATTCACCAGGAGGTGGTTTCTCCTTGAGAACCTGTGCAAGTTCCATGGCTTTCTTAAAGTACTTTTTAGCACTTTGAATGGCTTCACAATCATCCTCAGATTTCAAGAATATCTCATGGTAGGTACGACCAAGTTGAGTACATGCTCTTTGCTTCTCCACAGTGTCATTAGCTTCTTCAGCTAGCTGTAAATGCTTCTTCTGCAACAATAGGATTCAGAAATTCGATGAGGTAAAGAAAAACCCAAAAATCAAAATTAATCATGGAACATCAGGAAGCCACCAATACCCAAGCAAATGATCTAAGGAGGGCTTACCTGATAAATCAAGGCTTCTTCGAAATCCTCGAGACGGAGATAGATCTCGCCAAGAGACTGACAAGTAGGTAACAAATCTTTCCCAGGTAAATACTTGACGGAGATATCGTAATCGATCCTAAACCACTTGAGAGCATCAACGTACTCTCCATGATTCTTAAGGATATCGCCGACATTGTTAGCCCACCTCGCCTCTTCCCTCCGGTCACCCACTTCCGCTGCTTTCCGGTAAGCTCTCTTCGCTGCAGCTACATCTAATCGACCCATCGGATGATTTTTCCGTTCTTCAATTGAAGGGTTTTTGTTTTCTTCCTTCCGAATTTCAGATTTCTCGAAATTTCTTTCTCTGTGATTTTGATTTTCTCATTTTGTCCACTTTCGCCAATTATTTTGGTACCCATCGAAATCCCAAAAAGTCCCGCCAAAATTCAAGGGCAAATTAGAAATCTCACGTATAGTTACCCTAAAACCTTAGTTTCGGGCCAAGTTGAGATGGGCCATAGGTCGAGCAACCTAAGTATTGGGCCACATTTAATTTGGGCCTTAGGCCTCGTATCCTGACACGTAGAGAAAACCCTAAGGGTTCTTAAGTCTCTCTATTTAAGCTCTCATTTTGCGCCGCCCGAACGGCTTCTGCTTGAAACTGAAGAACTCTTCCTTGTAATCCGGCGATCTGAATCTTCCCGGCGTCGAAAAATGGTTGCGGCGAAGAAGACGAAGAAGTCCCATGAGGGAATCAACAGCAGATTAGCTCTTGTGATGAAGAGTGGAAAGTACACTCTTGGATACAAATCTGTTCTCAAATCCCTTCGCAGCTCCAAAGGTAATTTTAAAACCTTTCTTCATCGAATCATTATAGTGTTCGTAATTCCGTAGAATAATTGTTGGATATTGTTGTGGTTTAGGTAAGCTGATATTGATATCTAGCAATTGCCCACCATTGAGGAGATCAGAGATTGAATACTATGCCATGCTTGCTAAAGTTGGAGTTCATCACTACAATGGCAACAATGTTGATTTGGGTACTGCTTGTGGTAAATACTTCCGAGTTTCTTGCCTCAGCATCGTTGATCCTGGTGATTCCGACATCATCAAGGCACTTCCTGGAGATCAGTGATTCTGATTTGTTATCATGATGATTTTGCCATGTTGTTCTCTATGCTGCTTTGTTATGCATTGTGTTCTTCAAAGACTTAATGTTAGATTTCTTTGGTTTCTAAACTTCTTAATGGTTATAATTATTACATTTTCGACTCTGTTGATGGATCCTTTACATGAAAAGGCGTTATTAGTTTTGTTACGAACAACACTTGGTTAGTAGCTAATTATATGTTCATGAGCTACACAAACTTTATAAAAGACAACTTTAACATAATCCATTTTTATGTTCTAATAAGCAATTACTGACCAAATTAAATCTCAATTAATCAAAAAGAAACCCTTCATCCTGTAGGAAACTTTCTACATTTGCAGGGAGTGAAGAGATTCTTCTTCTTCTCCAACCAACAAATTAAACACAGGTTAAAAGAAAATAGATAATGAAGAACGTCTTTGATTTGTTGAGCTTTTTGGCTTTTACTTCAACTTCATGAGAGACAACTTTTTCTTTGTCTCCATAATGGCTTCTTCTCTTTTCGTTGCTATCTCTTTCATCTCTTCCTGATACTTAGCTTCTATCTCCTCCAGTTCCTGCCTTAACCTTTCTTCTTCCTCCAAACTTACTGGTTCTGTTGCTTCTTCTGCTTCTTTATTGGAGCTCCCGTTTTCTCCTTTTGTGGCATCGACGCATTGCTTATCTTCCTCATCTGATCGTGGGCAGTCCGAGTTCCATGAGTGACGAACCGACTCACAAGCATCATGGAAAGTAGTCTCCTCTTGTTTCTGTGGCTTTGCTTCGTTATGATGACTTCTTGAGTTCTGATTCAGTTGCGAATGGATGAGATGATCGACTGTGACATCAGTTTTCCAGGTGGGTATCATGTTGACGAGTAGTATATCAATTAGCTCGGCTATAAACGTGACGTTCTGGTCAGTTAACTCGAGTTGCTCAACCATCTCACTCGACACCTTAGAAGCAGTGTCACCTTCTTGATAGAATAGGAAATGAATGTTCCTTACACGCCCTGCAACAAGAAACAGTTTCAGAATGTGAACATATCGAAGAAGTAATGAATCTTAGCTGCATATGAATAAAAGAACTGACCATTCTCATCTACTATACGAAGAATTAGGGACACAGACTGCTCATCGTTTTCTTCACCCTTGAGGACAAAGAAATTCCCTCTCTTTGCGCGTCTAACCTCAATACACCTGGATCCTGAATTGTCGCTAAAAGTAACAATAGGCAGGTTACTGTCTTCATCCAGATCTATAGACAAGGTTTTACTAGGCCGTGTTGTAGGAGGGCCTTCAGACATAAGGCAACGGTCTCCAAATGCGCCTTCTTTGGGCATTACAATGTCGGGAAGCGGCAAAGGATTGTTCATTGTTAAACCATTTAGTTGCAGAAAAGGGTCCAGTAAAAGCTCTTTTGCTGACAGCCTCTCGGATGCAGGAAGTAAGCATTTCTCTATAAACTGTTTTACTTCTGGGTCTTTAACCCTGGAGAGTGAAGCAGGTTTTATTCCCTTGAAATCACCAAGAACAAGAATCGGTTAAAATCTTGTCAATAAACTATGGATGTGGCATATATGTCTCTGTTGCTATTTGCTAACTCACCGATGAAACCTTTTTGTATATCTGAGCAGAGTTTTTGCATTCACAGTAGGGATATTCAAATGTCACCATCTCCAACATACACATCCCAAATGAATAAATATCAGCCAATTCGTTGTAGTTCTCATCGTAAAGCTCGGGTGCCATAAACTCCGGGGTTCCTGTTGGTAACATACAAATTTGACCCCAAAAGAAGACAAATTAAAAACAAAGAATATAGCATGGCTATAACTGTATCCGTTCTTCTTGGACTAAACCAGAAACAAAAAGTGAATATGTAAGCAACACCAACAAGCAGGAAATAGAAACTATACCAATCACACTTTTGGCGTTAGCTTGCTCCATGACAGTGGCTAGACCAAGATCTCCTATTTTCACTTCTCCATGGTTTCCATTGATAAAAATGTTATCGCATTTGAGATCCCGATGTATAATCGGTGGCTCTTGACCGTGAAGATATCTCAAACCCATTAAAATCTGCCTCGCCCAATTCTTCACAGCCTTCATGTTCACCTTCCTGTGTTTCTTGCGGTAGCTGAAACCAAAGATTGCTTAAACTCCAAAATGGTGATCTCCTCAATAAGAAGAAAGGGAAAAAAAGGAAGGGAGATACATACTGTCGGAGGCTCCCTGAAGTGAATAGCTCAGTTATTATGTTAACTGTCTTGTTCTTATCATCGATCCATGAGTTATAAAACCTAATAATATTATTGTGCTTCAATGATTTCAACAGACGCACTTCAGAATACAGCCTCTCAAGGCAATTCGGTGACTGCAAAACATCATCTATTCGTACTTGGTTCCATGCGACTTCAATCCCATCTACTTCATCAAATGCCTTATAACTGATTTCCATGAGTTAAGGTACAAACGATGATGCAGAACATAGTAGAAAGATATTCATTCTTTTAAAGAGTTTCTTAAAACAACTTCGCTAACATGATATAAGTACATTCCTAGGAAGCTTCTGATATCAAGAATACTCTAATCTCAGAAATATAAATATCAAAACAAACCGAAAACCGAAAAGGATACACAGTCTTGAATGCGCCTTTTCCAATAACCTCTTTATACTGAAAGGTCCACAATTAATTGGTTAACAACATAAGATATCTAAATCACCACACAATATTTACTCAAAACCATAACATTGAGAAGTAAACAAGATCCCTCTTTTCTTGGTTTTATAGTATCAACCAATTACTCAACAAATAGAAAAAATAATAGCATTCCAAAGAACCTCCTCATACCCGTATATATCGAAAAGTTGGATCAACTTCGAGCACTTCGGGGTCAGGAGGCTCTTGAAGTGCACAAGCATCGTCTGTACCTTCCATTCTTTCTTAAACCTTGAAAAAGTATACAACACAAAACAAACCCATAAAAACACAGATTGAGATCATAGGAACCCTCTAGATTCTTGGGTGCAACACCTTGCAATAAAATAATTTCAAGGACAACAAGATATTCACACGCTAATTCAACACTAAATCCAATTTTAGCTGGATTTTTTTTTGTGAAACTCATCAACCTTTAATCACTAATCAGCTCATATCAACAACAAAAACAAAACAAAACAACAAAACAACAAAAAACAAAATTTAGGATCGTGACATAATTTTCATAAAACCAATCCAATACTCTTTTCTCAGAATGAATTCCGTCAATATCCACATTTGATACAGGCATAAACAATAGCCATGAACTATTTCATAATTTTGAGAGGAGAAAAAAAAATGCCAAACAACACCTACATGTATGAGTATATCGAAAAAGAGAGAGACCGATTCACGCCAATGCATACATTCATATGAACATAGAAAACAACACACGATTAAAAGATTTTCTCACCCAAAAAAAGGGGTGTAAGGTAATAGAATCGCGTAAATTTTTATTTAGAAGATTCTGACGTTTTGATTCTACCTGGAGAAACGAAGCTTTGTTCTGTAATTGAAACGAAACGGAGAAGGAGAACAACAATGGGAGGAAAAATCAGAACCCTAATTGAGAAAATCGATGGATGAAGAAGAAGATGCAGCGACACGGGAAATTATAACAAGTGTTTGTTCTTAGCTAATTTACGAACCACCACCTCTATTTTAAATTCATTATTCTTTTTCCAAAATTAATTTTTAGAAAAAAGAATGAAAAAAATTTGAAGTCCTAAAAACAGAGAAACGCTCTGTCCATGCAAACATGACGTGTCAATACACGTGGCACTTGATTCGGGATTATTAACCCAATTGCTGACGTTGAAATATCCACTAGGAAAATAGCGAAAACAACATAAAACACATGAAATTTAGTTCAATTTACCTAACATTATTATTACATAAAATTAATTTATTTCATCGTCTACGCAAAACGCATTTCACTTCATGTAACCAAGAACGCACAAATAACCATTGAAGGAGAGACTCCCATGAAGATCTGGCCTGAGTAAACATTTCAAAGAAAATGATATCCTCATCGTGATAACCCTAGAATGTTGTCGTCGTCTTCGTCCGAGGAGGAATTATCATATAAGCTCTCAGTAGTAAGCCTGTTAGGCTCGGTCAGACTATCTTCCTTTTCCGAATGTCCAATCTTGATGTCGCGGTGTTTAACTAGGAGCCAGCGCAGCAGTTTGTCTTCCTTGTTGAGGTAGTGAAGCTCCTTGTTCATGTTTGGAGTTGTCATCATTGTTATCTGCATCAATTGTCCCTACAGTATTCACCCGATATGATTATGTTATATATACACACTCAAAGCTCCAAGGCAGAGAACAGTACTAAGCAAACGCATGACTCTGTAGATTAGTGAGAGAGAAGCTAATAAAGGTGGATGTTCAATTTTCACTATCTGCAGATTCTATCAAAGAGACATAGGAGATTGATGTTTAAAGCTTTTGTACTGATACTCTCAAAACACATGATACCCCTACATCTATTGCAGATCGAAACAACTGTATCCCGTTACTTCCTAGGTACGTATATATTCTACTTCTATTCCTACAATAGCCAAATTGTCTAATAACAGAAACAGTTTGAAGAAAATCTACGCGAAAAAATGGTATAAGCGAAAGCTGAGATTGTTTGTACCAGGTTATATCTCCATAATAAAATGCATCAAACTAATAATCAAATTCCACACTGAAGATCCAAAGCACAATCAGATTCTTTGGACAATTGAGTAGATAAGAACTTATCTAGAATCCTAGCTGTTGTGTTATCCTCAACAGGATTTTCTGGAATCGTTAAGTTCAAAAAGAAACGCTGTCCAGGAAATGAAAATCACAAAATCCCATAGACTAAAAACGCAACCTTTGTGACTAGTAAAAAAACACACAACAAGTATCAATTCAGGAACGTCGCCAGCATTTGAGAACAAGACTGCATAACATCACTCCAAGTCCAGCCATTTAACCATATGAATCAATCAGAAAGATACAAAAACACAAAGCGTTTTCGAAAGGCTAACCTAAAACCTAACGCTAATACCATTGAATCATCCTCATCCAAACAAACTCTACGGACTCATAAATCATCGATTCAGTACGAAATCAAACGCAATTGAATACCTGGTAGTGTCTTCCGTCGAGCTTCCTAATACCGTAACCCAATTCGACCTTGCCAAAAGATTTGATCTCGGTAAGGACGCCATTTCTGCTGTAAACATGTTTCCCGATGCGCGCAACGAGGTCGATGAGGCCTTCCTTCCTGATTATTGGCTTGAACAAAAGCATACAGTCGTAGAGCGGCATTTTTGATCTTCTTCTTCCTTCCGACGACAAGAGATTAGATTTGGACTGTTTGTTCTCTCTGGTTTACATTAGGGTTTTACTCTTCACAGATTCGCCGACGGGTGACCAAATGACCAAATTCTTTTTCCTCAAATACGACGCCGTATTGTTATAAAATATTTCCTCGAACGACGTCGCTTTGGTAATGTTTATTATATGGAAAATCCGAAAATGGTTTCAAATACTTACAAACCCAAAGAGGAAATTGTAGAAAGCTTTCATAAATCGTTGACAACAAAAAAAAAGATTTTTATGCGTATGCTTACCATTTATATACAGAGAATTTATTTTTGATATATATTGTACATATGTTTTCCATTTATTTACATAGAATTTTTTTCTTTTTTGGGTATATGTTTATTTACATGGACCAATATCATCATCATCCAAAGAGTCGAGAGAGCTTAATATTATGTACATACGCACATTCTGCAAAAAAACAAAACCAAACCAAAACCCAAAATGGGTCAAGATTCTGAAACCATCAAATATCAAACATCAAAGGGTGTAGTAGTAACCGAGGAAGGGTTTGATGAGGATTGACTAAGCAACAAATGATTCTTCATTTCTTTGTAAGACCTCAACTCTTCCAATGCATCAGCTGTTGTCTTTGAGGCCAGAGCAATCCCCGAGGCTGTGATAGACGCTACTGCTATCTCGTGAGCCCCTGCTGGTTTGTTGCTGTTGTTGTTGTTCCAGCAAATTTCAGGTATGGAAGATTCTGAGACATCTTGTCTGAGAGGAGGAGCTTTCTTCAGCATTCTCACAAGGGCACCAACTGCAGCATCTTGGGACTTCTTCGGGTATGACCCACTTGAATCGAGTGGTTCATGTATGTCTCCTCTGTGGTCAAACGAGCCGGGTCTGAAATAAGACAGTAAACCAAAATCAGTTTCTACTGGAAACAGTTACAAAACAAAGTCTCAAGAACTGGCTCAGCCCTGAGAATCTGAGACGAACCATTTCAAACAAAGTTCTCTTTCTTCTTTTTATAAGATCAGTACAAGAATACACCAAAATTAATCGAAGCTACACGGATACAGAAGCATTACAGTGACAACTTGGGTCTTATGGCTGTAAAATCTCAAAGTGAGAAAGAACATGAACAAGCTTCTTAAGCCGTAGAAACTCTATTGGTTTTGAAATATAACAGAGATCCACTTAGAAGGACAACAGAAAGCAATCAAAAGATTGTATGATTGGGCTGTAGAAAAAGTGGAAAAGACACAATGAGATATGTAAGATTTTTAAGACCATACCTGCTATTACGATCTGTAATATCATCATACTCAACATCAAATGGGCAAGGGAAATCAGGATCATCAAAATCGTCTTGGAAAGATCTACTGGAACTCCGGGAAAATGATATCCGCGGTGAGCTGTTGGAAGACGGCCTCACCCCAGAATGCCTTCTAAAGTCATCTCTCCCATAAAGAAACAGCTAGAAGGATAATGAATAACAGTTTAACTCGTTCAGTCACATGATCCAGAAAACAGATAAAAGATAAGAAATGTGGAGTACGTTTACCTTATCTATTGCTGCTCCAGATTCACCAGGACCCAAGTTTCTCACAGGCTTCAACGAAGCATGTCTCGACAATTTTAGATGACCAGAAGGTGCCACAACGTTTTCTTTGGACTGGAAAGTTGGAGCTGGGATTCTGACTGGAGCACTTTCAGTACGCGTGATGCCTCTTGGGACGGCGTGTTTTGGTGCTGAAGGAGAAGGAGGAGGGGAGAAATCTTGAGACGGAGGAAACTCTTCGGCGTAGCTTTCCTTCCTACGACCAGTGGGTATATCAGAAGGGTGAGGAGGAAGGTGATGGGAGCAAGGATGTGAAACCAATGCATGTGTATCCGAGCGTGTAGGCGATGGTGAGCAAGAAACAGAAGGTGGAGATGCCTTGTAACGATCGAAACTCCAGCTATGGCGCCTTTGAAATGGCAGCAATGGAGGAGAACCGTATGAAAGAGGAAGGGAAGGGAACCTCTTTAAAGGATCAGCCAAGGGACTTCCAACATAATCGGTTATAAACGTTGGAGACATAGGAGTTGAGTGTTCGCAACTGACATCTGAGAGAGAACGATATAAAACCGATAAGCAAAGTCTACCACAGATAGTTTCAACGGGTGTGAAAGAAAACTTCTGCATTTCTGCCTCTTCTCTACGAGTGAATGGCTCAACTATAGAAGGGACCCTAGGAACAAGCTTGAACTTGAAGATCTGCCCCGAGGAATTAAGTTCCCGGAAAATCTTATAAGCAGGTAGAAGCCTAACCATCACAAACAATGATCTCAGAAGCAGAGTTGCTTTCTTATACATAACTTGCAACTTATTACTACTTGACCTCCTGCTGCTGGTAGTAACAGATTCCCTGATCTTCCTATTATCATACTGCACCACCCATCTCTCAATAATCTGCTCGTTCTTAGTCTCACATCCCAATTCATCTTGATCAGAATTCCAACCCGACTGATAATCTTTCCCGGAAAAATTCCTGATAAGCTCCCTTTTACCAGACAAGTTCATCTGATCACCAACAAGCGGCCTCACCACAAGAACCACATCAACAACCAAAGGCTCAAGACTACTTCTCCGGCCGATATCAAAACTCTCTAACGCTGCAGGACATTCCCTAAGAGCTAGATTGAACCATTTGTCGCGAGGCCTGACACTCGAGGAAGAGGAAGAAGATGAGGAAGGAGAACAAATCATCTGGTCACCACTAAAATTCCTTGAAGACATAAAAGGAGTCCTTGACTCGAGAATGATGTGAAGGCTTTTAGCAAAGAACTCAAATATGATTTGTTCTGCTTTAGCACCTTCTGAATTGTTGTTACTCCTGTTGTGTGAAGATGACATCTTTCTATCAAAAACTGTTCCTGGTGATCAAAATTCAAAACCACAAATTCAAAATCAGTAACCCTATTAATTCCACATTTGATCAAATCGATCATAATCTCCAGTAAAAACCCAGAATCATAAATATAGTTGTCTATGAGAAAATCCATCTAATAAACAAAAATCAGAGAGTAAAAAAACTAAAAACCTAAAACCCAGAACAGAGCAAGTACTCACGAACTCATGAAAAGTTATCATTACCTAATCGAGTCACCACCGACTTGTGTCGCTGCTTTTAACTTCGTCTTCTTCTTCTTCGAACTTGTTCTTCACTGTTTTTTTTTCGATTTTATTGGCAAAATTGAAAGAACCCTAACGACGGGAAAAAAAAGGACAAAACTTTCGATTACAAAAAATTAGTGTTCCGAATTCAAAACCATGGAAGACGAAACTGAATCAAACCCATGGGAAATTTCTGGAAATCAAGCAAGTTTATTTCTTCGTCATTATCAGATTAGTAATACTAGTTCATTCGAATTCTTAGTTTTGTTTATTTTCCAGAGACGATTTGATATCTTCTTCGTGACTCGTTCGATACACACTTATACTTTCAATTTTTTTATTTTTAGTTTTTTTTTTTCGAAATTTATTATATTTTAAAAAAACTTTGTTAGTGGGTCCATAAACTAGGTCCTTCGTAGGTAAGGGAAGTTAGGAATATACCAGTTTATTTATGTAACCGAATGTTAAAAAAAAAAAAAATTACTCGTTAACTAATCTAATTAAAATTAGCTAAATATTTTTGGGGAAGATTTGTTGGCTTGTTGCAACTGATGAACTGAACAAAAGAAATTGGTGTAAATTATTTCTTTTGTTATTGGACATGCATCATAAGATGTGAAATTATAATATATGATGATTTTTCATATATGCAACTCTATTTTTTAAAAAAAAATGTAGATATGCAATGAAAATAAGAAATTAATAAAAAAAAAATTACTAAGAAAATAAATAAAAATAAGAATTTAATTAAAATAAGATATGAGATAACAGCAAATCATGAAAAGATGAATTCTAAAGGAAAAACTGTTTAAGATTTGGTTAAAAGTTAGAATTTATCAGTTGTTAAAAAATTTATATTTAAATGACAAGTTTCTTACATATAAGTAGATAATTAATTGCTGTCAAACTTTGTAAATTTTAAACTAAGCTATCCGAAAATCTTTAGTAGGTTTCTTTGTGTTTGCTCCAGTTTAACGTCGCAAATGTTCTATTGAATGGTCCAAATCACGGAAGGTTCCACAACAACATGAATAGGTCATGAGAGAGACCAACAATGTGAGAGCCTAATTGGAAGGTTCCACAACAAATCCATTCTTTATATTTATTTCATTTACTGCTTTGGTCTCCCATATGTCCCATTTACATTAACACAATAACACGGCAGGTAAGAAGACTAATCGTCCCGTGTTCGTATTTCTTGGTGATAAGAGTAATCAGAAATCATCATGTGTGAGTAGAATTCTAATGCGTCAAAATCACACTTAAAAAGTTAAAAACATATATAAATATTTTCATTGGACCACAAATAAGCCCAATTGGATTGAGAGCTAAATATGAATTTAAATTTAAGCCCATATACGATTTCAGATTCCAAATTAAAATTGGAGGATTATTCGTTCCACCATTTCAAACGAAATTTTGTATGTTTGCTAATTGCTAGTTTTTGGCTCTGTTACGCACTTCTTCGAAACCAGAACACAATAGATGTTAGAGTTGGATGATTATTTGTAATAGAAACATCACTTTGAAGAATAATCCTCCATTGAGCCAAAGTGATGTTTCAAACATCAACTCTAAGGATCCAAATAATAGATGTTTTAAACATGTTTCTCTTTCTATCTATTGAAAAACAAAATATATCTATATTTTCGATTTTATGAAGCAAGACAAATCCTTCTAAACATATTTTATGCTGCATGTATTTAACTATGAGTCTATGATTATTGATTTCGATGTGGAAACTAGTATTCATCTTAATAATGGACTAATGGGTAATCACTAACTTGTCACTAGACTACGTGACATGCAAAAAATTTCCCATGATGCACCAAGTACTAAAGAGATAAATGATGAATCCTATATCTCATAAGTTTCTCATGAATATCCTATTAAATTAATTAAAGAGGCATATTAAAACAATGATAGAAAAGTAGGGTTAAAAAGCAAAATATCCCACTTGTGATTTTTGGCGGTGCTCTAATCCATGTCCACAACCACAAATTCAACCATATCTCTACAAGTCTCTATCTCTAGAATTAAATCAACATAAAAATATACAAATTATAAAGTTATTTACACACTAAAGCCCCTTTCTAATTTGAAAAATATGTATACTAACTCAAAATTTGATGTGTTACTGTTAACTAAGAGGAATATATAAATGGTATATGCTTAATAATCAATGTTGATAAAATTTGTAACAAATATTGTAAAATTAATGGGCCGACGACGACCCCTTAGGTTGGAGAATTGTGTTTGAGCTTTTATAATTACAGAAAAGAAAACAATCATGAAACGAAAACATTGATTAAAAGCTGGTAAACACGGGACGGGACCAGAGATTAAGGTTAGGGAAGATTATGTCGACCAAAAAGACAAAACTTAAAATTTAGACAATAACGTTTGTGGAGTAGACGATATTAAGCTGGTTACATCTGTTTCGTTTTCTCCTTTTTTTTTTTTCTTTTTCTTTTTGATTTGTTTTGTTTCCTCCTTTTATATTGTTGCTTTTTTTTGCAAAAAAAAAATGAATAAATAACACAAAGGAAGGCTCACATATATGTAGCAGACAAGTTTCTGGTTTAGATCTTGAGATATCATTCCAATATCAAAAGAAGATTTTGCGTATATTACCAGTAAAGAGTAAAGAGACTAATGATACTCATTTTGGTTCATGAGTAAACATGCTCTTAGAAATGAAAAAAAGAGTACAAGTATCATCAGATCAACATAGACCCATCTATCTTTTTACTGTCACTATTAGTAACCGTTATTCTAAAGTACATTGTATATTATATAGTAAATTCTGTGACTTTGGTTGCAATCATTACCAAAATTATGTAATTTACTGAAAGGAAAATAAATAATCTTTTTTTCAAATATATTTTGTTTTTCTTTTGAAAAACAGAGAATTATTTATGAATGAAGCGACACGACACATGGGAAAAAAGCCAAATAATACAGACAGAGAATTATAGAGCAACAAAACACAACACACTGCTTTACAACTATCAAATAACTAGTGTGGCCAAACCATCATAATAGAGATACAACTCAACAAATGTCCTCTTGATTAGAATCAGAATTATATAATAGTAATACATTTCAAGTTTTATTTTTGTTGTAAAGAAGTTATTTCTAGGACGAAATGATTGTCCCTACAAAGCAATTGGAAAAGATATGGTCAGAGGCACAATCTCTCTACACAAAGGAAGGATTCATGGAATTGGATAAGCTCTTTCTGGGTCCCTAATTCCTCATTTCATTTTCAGAGAAAGAAGTTTCCAAAACCAACATTTAGTGATCTCTATATATAATATTCCTATTCCCCACTAAGTATCATCAAGCTATATATAATCACCACTTTGAATCACCCAAGGCAATAAACCAAACCAAAACATCCTAAGAAAAAAAAAACAGAGAGAATTTGATCTTAAAGCTTTTTTTTTAATAGAGTAAAAGATGTTTTCAGATCACTTACCTTCTTCTTCATCTCAAGTCTTCCAAGAACACTTCATCGACAGTTTCGTCTCCAGAAAATTGCTTCAGCAAATCCCATTTGCTCACAACGCTCAACAAGCTCATGTACCTGATAAGAACAACTTGAGCGGCAATGTTCTCATGCTGCTCTCTATCCTTTTGTGCGGTATCATCTGCTCCCTCGGGTTGCATTACATAATACGTTGCGCATTCAGACGTTCTCGAAGTTTCATGATCTCTGATCCTATCTCTATCCCATCCACACCAAGAGATTCATCAGTAAACAAAGGGGTCAAGAAGAAAGCTCTCAAGATGTTCCCAGTTGTGAATTACTCACCTGAGATTAACCTGCCAGGGCTTGGTGAAGAGTGTGTCATCTGCTTGTCTGATTTTGTTGCTGGAGAACAGCTACGTCTGCTTCCCAAGTGTAACCACGGGTTCCACGTTCGCTGCATCGACAAATGGCTTACGCAACATATGACTTGTCCGAAATGCAGACACTGTCTGGTTGATACATGCCAAAAAGTCTTAAGTGACTGCGATGCAGCTGATCAAGTGGCAGCAACATCAACGGAGAGCATAGATATCAGAATTGCTCCTCTAGAACCTGAAGCAAGAGTAGCCACTTTTAGATAAAGCAGCTAGAGTATGCCAACAAAACAATCATAATTGCAAAATTTGGCTCTCCAGCAAGATTATAGCTTTTTTTAGACTTAAACACAATTTATGTCCCTAGCCATAGGATATCAAAATCAAACACACCAGAGTTTTTTTTTTGCCTTTTGTTGTGCCTAAAGCCCAAAGTGTACAGAGAATATACCTTAAGCTTTCTGTGGCATCATAAGTTCATCAAACTTTTCTTTGCGTTTTGGTCAGTATCTGAATTTCTACTTCTTTGCAATACTCACAGCCAAGGCTAACAATCGAAATCGTCATCTGCCAAGAAAAGTTTGATAAATGCTTTTCAGAAAATTCCTCTGCATATTCAAATCACAATCATAGAGTAGAAGTGTAGAACTAGTAACAACTACTTTTGAAGGTCTGAAAAGAAATGGTTTTGATGAAGCTCTGGACACCAAGACCAAGGTACATGAAGAAGCAGTACTAAGACCACAGAATGTGATCTCGGTCTGGCCTAATCGGTTACATATCTATTCACTCACTCACCAACTTGGTAGACTAACACCGTCTATATCCCCATTCGACCCACAGTAAGTAATCTGGGTAAGAATAAACAAGGGATTCTTCGTCGCAATGATAAAGAAATGAACTCAGTGTGTTTGCAAAGGGTAATGGACCCAACACATTACAAGGTCAAACTAATCCACCTAAGTATGTGGGAAGAAGTCAAACCTAGAAGCTACTTTGAGGAATGATTATAGTATTTTAAGATATCAGGCAACACCAACATGGTATAAGATCATAATGGAAAGCTCCACTTTAACAATCAATCATTTTTCTATAACAAGGAGCTGCTAAAGTGATAACACATGTCTTTTGGCATATGCACATATGCTAACACATCTCTATTGGCAATGATCTGCAATTACCATACTCAAAATCCAGATAGTAGTAATTTAAAACCAAGATAAGAGACAAAACATTTCCATCCAATCAAACGAACATTGCTAGATTTCCAAGCATCTATATGATTCAATGAAATCGTGAGAATACCTCAACTGAGAGAAGTTGAAGCCTAACGATTTAAATCAACATAGTGTTCTCTTACTTTAAGTCACTCCTAAACAATCGCGGAAAATAATAACTATATCAACTTGATACACAGCTTGATATTTATTCCATCTTGAAACTGAAGGAAATCCGAGTCATACTAAATAAATTTGGAATCCACAATCCTCAGTAAGCTACTAATAACTGATTTAATTATGAGCAGCATGCTGAGAATATTTTTCTATATCACAGTGAGATTTTGGAAACCCTGCAGTTTCAAAGGGAACAAGATTTCATAAACAAAAAGAGCTCCAGATAGATCTTAAAGATCCTAGTCACTTGTGATTGGAGTGAAATAGATAAAGAGCAGGGAAATATATATTTTACAGTGCCTGAGTAGGAAGTGGGAGCTTGATAGCACATGAGGCTTTGCATAGAAAAGAAGCGTCATTGGTTAACAACATAAGAATGTGTTTTACAGGTAACATAGGTCCACTATGCATCTGAGTGATATGAGATGGTATCGAATCTTACTGTTGTAATAGACCATAGTCTGAGATAATTTCAACAAATTGGTAGGTGCAATTTTCCTGTAAATATTTTGGATTTAGATATTAACTAAGAACTCTACATTGGTCACCAGTTGCAGTTTACTACCCATTGGACTGCAATTGTACAACTACAAAAACAATTGAGACTAGCTAATAACAACAAAACATTATAAAATGAACCATTTAATTACACAATCAACAAAAAACTGATTCCAGGTGCACTTAATGTATATAGTGTTCAACTAATATATACTAGTATTCTTTTGGTGGGGAGAAGAACGATCTATTATTAGCATAAAAAGCAACTTAAATCAAGGCACAAAGGAAAATCCAACGGTAGCTGTGAAGGATAAGGTTTAAAATAGTATGATAGAGCAAAGCCCTCTTGCTAGACTAAAAACTTAAATCAATAAGAAGATACATATATCACAACTTTTTGGAGTATACTGGAATTAGAGGTTCAGATAATTCAGTACGATGCAACTAAAAAAATTGAAAAAAGTCTGTCGGCATACCATTGTAGAGGAAAATAGCTGGACACAAAAAGTCTGTCGGTATAACCAATTTATCCCAGCCAAAATTGAAGTTCTCTGCATAATCATGAAAAGAAAAGATTAGTAGGAAAAGACTGAAAGAAGTTTACCAAATGACCATCAGTGAGAAATGCAATTTGAATGGTAATGATTAGGTCCCACCAAAGACAAGTCAGAGACTGAACATCAATAATGAACCTAGAGTACAAAGAATTTTAAAAAAAAGACAGCTCTATATTAGAGAATTGCAAATTCTAGCACAAGAAAAATATTTAATTAGTGTGCTCCTGAAATTATTGTCATGGCTCTTCAAACACATTGAATGCGGCCAAACCATTCAAAATCAAATGCATCAAGAAAAAGTGTTCCAAATACAACTTATCTCGACTCATTCAGAGAGATGCAGTATTGATACGACTTAATTATTGCTTATTATATTCCTTTGCTTTAATAATCACAAGGTAGGAAGACCACCAAAGCAAGAATGTCAACCAAAGAATGCACGAGTATCACATGGTATTCCAAGCAACATAAAGCACTAAAGGCAAAGTTTATCACTTTCAGGAAGGGATAAAAAACAGACCACTACATGTTCTTACCAGCTATATGGAACCTAGTGGCACAAAGAAAAGAGAAGACGAATCATTTTCAGATAGGCTTAAAGCTTTTCTGTAATTTTCAGAGAGAGACTGGTGAGAAAGGATAGATCTCCCCAGAAAGGATAGATCTCCCCTGATTTGCAACATCAACTCTTTGCCCAAATTATAAAAATCTACGCCAAACAAATGCTTACCTACTAGTACCAAGTAATAAGACTAAAGTAACATTAGATCTTCATCCAAAAATCTTGCTTTAGATACGTGCCACAGTAAGAACGTTTGATTCTAGATTCATGTAGTTTGCGCTGGCAATTTGCAGTAGAAGACAATATATCATAAAGTAAGCTAAAGGAAATTATATAAATCATCTGCTTTAGCTATGATTTAAATCATAGGTATGAGACTGGCTTAGATAAAGGAGCAGAGCTGGACACTAATTTAGAGTGATCTTTATCGATAAAAGTAGCCTTTAACAGGAATCATGGAAGGGGCTTTTTGCCTTCTGGGTGCTAACAAACTTTGGACGAGACTGGCTTCCTGTTTTCCAAACAAAAGTCCATGAACCTTTCTTCAGTATTCACCACAGAAACACCAAAAATTGAAACAAAAAAAAGTTGAAGTTTGAGGTGACCAAGGAATTGGATACATCTGATCCGATGTAAATCAAAACTTATAAATGAAGTGATGCACAAACAACGAAATACCTTACAATAAAAGATACTGATATTGAGATGTAACAAGAACTCAATTCATTAGTAACAAGAACCTAAGAACTACAAATGAAGCCACTAAACTTAACTTTCTTTAAAATATAAATATGTTATAAATTTGTGTACCACCTAACCAAGAAAACCATTTCGATGAATATAACTTATATGGGCAGATTTTTAGATCTGAATCAAACAAAATCAGCATAGATAGATGTCACTGCATAACTTATTTTGCATAAAACATTTTTGGCGTAACTTATATTAGAAGCCCTGATGAGTAGGAATGAACAGAGGGAGGCCAGTGACATGAACCAAGACCCAAGAGATGTATTATCTGAATGCTATCCCAAAGATGGAAAGTTCATGGCGGCTCTAGCTAAAGCTCATGGGTCCCTGTGAGCAATTCTAGATGATTTGATTTGCAAAAGCCACTGCCACATGGCACTACCATTGCAGCAAATGGTATGATGGGCCCATTTTCCATATGAAAGCACACAAATTCAGTGGAGAATCCATATAAGATGCAGACCATTAAATAAAACAAAACACTAAAGGACCTTGCTAATTTTGTTAGCATATTCCACCAACCATAATTCAGAAAATTCAATTAAACCAATTTCCCATTGAATGTAAGAAAGTATACGGAAACCTTTACCTTTCCACTATATATAGAACCTGCAACAAAAACCTAGAAGATCTATCTATCTAACTCTTCAAACTAGGTTATCATGTCGACCGCAACTTCTGCTCCCATTACCAAATCAACTGAGCTCTTCCAAGATATTCGTGGAGATTTTTACTCAAGAAGACTACTACTTCATACAGCTTATCAACCACTTACCACGGCATCACCTCCGTTTGCACATGCTCATGAAGCATCACACTCCTACACAAGTCATATGAGCTTTGATGCAAATGTTGTCATGGTCCTATCAGTTCTCTTATGTGCACTAGTTTGCTCACTTGGACTGCATTCTATCATAAGATGTGTACTGAGGTACTCCAATTTATTATCATCTGAAGCTAGTGACGAGCTCTCAGTCCGCTTGGCCAACACAGGGGTCAAACAAAAAGCCTTGAAGAGTTTCCAGACGGTAAGCTACACTGCAGAACTGAAGCTGCCTGGCCTAGATACAGAGTGTGCCATATGTCTCTCGGAGTTTGTACCCGGAGAACGAGTCAAGCTTCTGCCAAAGTGCCACCATGGATTCCATGTGCGGTGTATAGACAAATGGCTCAGTTCACACTCATCGTGTCCCACCTGCAGGCACTGCCTCATTCAGACTTGCAAAAAGATAGCTGGCTGCAGTGAGACTGTCTCATCACCTAATCAACCACAAGAAAACGTGCATATAGCACCGCTAGGACCGGAATCATTGATACGCGGTTTTAGCTGAACACAGTCAACTAGGCTTTAGGCGCAGTTATGTTTTTAAAACTGATACATATGTACTGCCACACCATTAGAATTAGTCGAGATCCCAAAGTATCTGCAGTTCAATATTCAAAACAACGTAATCGTTTCCACTGTAAAGTTTTAAACATTAAGACATGTTGTTTTCTTCACTTCACTCTTTAATGCCATAAAGTAAATGACATTCCAATAGAAGATCTTTGACTCACGTCAGTGAATGAAATGATAAACAACTCAAAATACAAAGATAAGGAAGCTGAGAAGGCAAAACACTCAAAACCAACCAACTTGGTCAACTAAGAGAATTCCTTAAAATTCCCAGCTTTAAGAAATTCTCAGGTTATTAAAACATGCTATGCAACTAGTGTCTTGTTTACTAGTGATTAACATATAAGTTTAATGCAAAGCACTCCATAATAGAAGACATTTCTTGATTTTGTCTACCGACCTTAGAGTATATTGAGTAGGCTCTGTGATGATAATCAGACAATATAAAAAACGTGACGAACTAAGACACAAAGAATTCAAAAGACCCCACAAGAGAAAAAAGGCTTTGATATAATCCACCGAAAATGAACACGGCGTTATAGGTTACACCTAGAACAAAGGGCATAAAGTAAAAATGGAATCTGAGCATGAAACCACCGTAAGAGTCAAATCAGATGATAACAAACAAACAAACAAAAATGTGTGGTTTAAATATTGTACTAATCATAGAAAGTAAAGATGATGGTACGATAAATTAACAACCAGTGTTGGTTGGTGCTGTCAAATATCAACATCTATTCTACCAAATTGAGGTTGCAGATTCTGTACCATTATGAGACCAAAACACCAATCATTTCACACTGAAAACTACTAAGAGGAAGCAGTAAATTTAATAGTACCGCCCTTAAATAGACAACCTTTGGCATATTTCGAGAGACGGAACTAATCAGTACAGTGGAATTGAAAACCAGAGCAAAATGCATAATAACCAAATAGAAATTGAACAGATCAACTACGCACAACATGTTTGAAAACCCTAGACGTAAAATTAAAATTGGGAGAAAACACACAAATCATTCTAGAATCGAGAAAGACAAGCAGGGTCAATGGAGTACAATGTTCGAGTTTCGCCCTAATCAATTAAGCCCAATGAAATTAGGTGACATAACATTGATTTGAGAAATTTAGACGAGAATCAAAGGAAATCGCGTGAATTAGAGTTTAGGCAGAGCGCGATGGGAATTTGAAATATAAATCTAACCTCAAATCTTGAAGAAGAAGATCGAACTGCTCAGCTCTGAAGATCACCTCTTCCTTGGCGCCAACAATCTTCTTCAGTAGTCTAAAGCGACTGGACCAGTAGGTGTTCCGGGTCACCTCGATTTGGGCCTATTGTTAAAGCCCATTATGAGCTGGATTGTCTTTCTTTTTTTGGGGCAAAATGGGCTGGATTGTCATATTTAATGTTCCACATAAAATCAAGTCAAATTTTCCTAAAGAAAACAGCATAATAATTTGTTTTTGTAGATTTGTACATTGTTCCACACCTCCGAAGTTGATTTATCCACAATCCCAACTCGTTAGCTGCCGGTGTACAACTATAAAGTCCATTGTTGATCGATATTTATATGGTTGTAGGCTTATAGCCTAAATTTATTCATCTAATAACAAGATAAATGGTTAGCTCTATTGTCAAGTTTTTGATTAATGTAATAATTGACTAACTTTAATAATTCAGTTACCTCAAAATAGATAAGTAATATCGGTTATTAATTTAATTATTTATTTATCTATCTGTTTTAAATTTTTAATTAATGTTCAAATTTACTAATGTAGTAGAGTGATTTTCCATATTACTTTATGGAACAGATGTCAGATGCTTGTGTTAGTTTCTTTCATAGTCTTAATCACTATATGGAACATTATTGTTTGTGTTATATCGTCTCTAAAGTTTGGACGGACCGACCAACATACATGTATCTAGTAATTATGTCAGAATTATTGTATCATCCCTGAAATTCAAATTTGCACAATATATGTTGGTGACAAAAAAATGGATGGATTATTTAATGTCACATGTATTCTTTATGACCCATCATTTTTTCTTTTCAATTTATATTGTTCCGACCAAATGTTGTGGTTTTTTTGTGTTAAAATGTTAGACGTTATTTATCTTAGATGTTAAAAGAATTAAAAAAAAAAAACTCTACCAACAATTTTTCTGCTTTCTCGTTGCTCTTAATTACAGAAGATTTGTTCTCTACATAAAAAAAATGTAACGAAACTCTGGAACTTCATTGTTCAATTGGTTTCTATTGCAATTTGCATGTAGGGTTTAAACCGATTTTAATTTATAGGTCACAAATCCATTATTCCAAAAAAGAAATGGAACTTTATGGGTGGATTGTGGTGTACCACTACTAGTAAAGTTGAGAGGAAAAAAGCTAGATCTGTGGGATCAAGCAAACTATTAATTACATTCCAAATCCAGAAAAACTAACCTTAATTGACTTTTCTCCAACAAAAGATATGAACGTGGCCTGCCATATATATGTAAACTTTATAATATAAAAAAAAACATGAACGTGGTCTGGCCTGCTTTGTATAAACCAACACATATAATAAAGGGATAGTGAGAGAATTAAATGTAATCATAATAGTAGCAATGTATAAATCAGAAGTAGTAGTTTCGTAATGATGGACACAACGTTTTCGTAGGTGCCAGCTTCATCACCTTCCCACATTCTCTCTCTCTCTCACCTGGTACGATCGTAACCGGCACGTGCGATTCACGTGGATCGCCAAAAAGTTGACTTTTTAGTTTTGATTTAATCTCAACAAACATAAAAAAAGTTTATGATGATGAATGATTAGTTTGCTTTTTCTTTTGTATGACATGAGAATCGTAATGTTATTGCTCATATCTTTCACTTACCAAGCGCACGATGATGATTCGATCTTATATACGTTCATATGTTCAGTTTGTAAGTAGTTAAATATTTTTCATTGTAGAAAAGCTAGCTAAATAATACATGGCTCGATGCCAAAAGTCCCAAAACTGTAAGTGACTAGGACCCAAGAAAACTATTTGTAACGTCAAGAAAATTTACAAAGAACTTATAATCTCAAATATATCGATACATATCGCACGTACGTAGGTAGGTTAATTACCATTATGTAAGAAAGTTTTGACGTTCTTAGAAGTTCATGTCACAACAAAATGGCTAGACTCAAATGTATTGGTATCTCAACTCAACATATATAAGTTGGACAATATTTATACAAGTATATTAAAAAATCAACCTGCAACTATTATATGTGCAAGTGTCAGCATATATATAATTGATTTACAATCGTTTTTGACGAGTTCGGATGTAGTAGTAGCCATTATTTAATACAATTCTAATCGTGAATAGTGAATACGATGAAATATTGTATCTTATTGTATAAATATCCTTTAGAAACATCATGAAAGTCACTTTCTTTCACGGTCTGATATAAATATTCCACATAAACGAATTAATTATGATACAATTCTAATAGAAAATGAATTAAATTAAGTTGAATTTTATGAAATCTAATTGAACAAGCCAACCACGACGACGACTAACGTTGCCTGGATTGACTCGGTTTAAATCGGAGCTGTCATATTAAGGCCGAGCAAGCAGGTCACAGTCATGAAGCCATCAAAGCAAAACAATTAAAATCCAACGGCTGAGATGATTAATTAGTTTTAAAATTAGTTAACACGAGAGAAAAGGCTGTCTGACAGCCAGGTCACGTTATCTTTACCTGTGGTCGAAATGATTCGTCTCTGTCGATTTTTATTAATTTTTATTTATTTTTTGAAAGGCCGAAAATAAAGTTGTAGAGATAAACCCGCCTATATAAATTCATATATTTTCTCTCCGCTTTGAATTGTCTCGTTGTCCTCTCAGTTTCATCGGCCGTTTTGAATCTCCGGCGACTAGACAGAGAAACAAGGAAGAAGATTAAGAGAAAGTGAGATAAGCCAGGCTCTCTTTAGATCGCCTTTGTTTTCTTCCTCAATCTCATCTTCTTCTTCCGATTTTCTCCATCTTTCTTTCAAGGTAAAAAGGAACTTTCTGGATCTACTTTATTTGCTGGATCTCGATCTTGTTTTCTCAATTTCGTTGAGATCTGGAATTCGTTGAATTTGGATCTGTCAACCACCGATAAATCTTTTGGTTTTACTAGAATCGATTTCAGTTGACCGATCATCTTTAGCTCGATTAAGCCACCAGAATTTGTCTTGACCTTGAATAGGGATAGATCCATGCTCAGATTTTTACATTTCTTTGAATTTCATCTCTAATTACCTGGGAAATGATTTGTAGATGTCAATTGAAATCTGAACTGTTGAAGTGAGATTGAATCTGAAACTGTCAATGTTAGATCGAATCTGAACACTGTTAAAGGTTAGATGAAGTTTGTGTATAGATTATATCGATTGAGGGATGCTTCTGAAAAGTATGTATTCTTCTAAACATTAGGATCTTGTAGTGTCATACGCTGATATAGAAAGCTAATTCTGATTCAATCAGGGTTCATTTGACAGTATTCAACTCTTTTGTGTGTTTGCAGCTCATAAAAAATGGCTGAGGCTGATGATATTCAACCAATCGTCTGTGACAATGGTACCGGTATGGTGAAGGCTGGATTTGCAGGAGATGATGCTCCTAGGGCTGTTTTCCCCAGTGTTGTTGGTAGGCCAAGACATCATGGTGTCATGGTTGGGATGAACCAGAAGGATGCATATGTTGGTGATGAAGCACAATCCAAGAGAGGTATTCTTACCTTGAAGTATCCTATTGAGCATGGTGTTGTCAGCAACTGGGATGATATGGAAAAGATCTGGCATCACACTTTCTACAATGAGCTCCGTATTGCTCCTGAAGAGCACCCTGTTCTTCTTACCGAGGCTCCTCTTAACCCAAAGGCCAACAGAGAGAAGATGACTCAAATCATGTTTGAGACCTTTAACTCTCCCGCTATGTATGTCGCCATCCAAGCTGTTCTCTCCCTGTACGCCAGTGGTCGTACAACCGGTTAGTACATTTTAGGCTTTTTGTTTCTCTGTTTTATACTCGTTGATCGTTTTGAAACTGAGCTCTGATTATCTTCCCTTGAACAGGTATTGTGCTGGATTCTGGTGATGGTGTGTCTCACACTGTGCCAATCTACGAGGGTTTTTCTCTTCCACATGCCATCCTCCGTCTCGACCTTGCTGGTCGTGATCTCACTGATTACCTCATGAAGATCCTTACAGAGAGAGGTTACATGTTCACCACAACAGCAGAGCGGGAAATTGTAAGAGACATCAAGGAGAAGCTATCCTTTGTTGCTGTTGACTACGAGCAGGAGATGGAGACCTCAAAGACCAGCTCTTCCATTGAGAAGAACTATGAATTACCCGATGGGCAAGTCATCACGATCGGTGCTGAGAGATTCAGATGCCCAGAAGTCTTGTTCCAGCCCTCGTTTGTGGGAATGGAAGCTGCTGGAATCCACGAGACAACCTATAACTCAATCATGAAGTGTGATGTGGATATCAGGAAGGATCTGTACGGTAACATTGTGCTCAGTGGTGGAACCACTATGTTCTCAGGTATCGCAGATCGTATGAGCAAAGAAATCACAGCACTTGCACCAAGCAGCATGAAGATTAAGGTCGTTGCACCACCTGAAAGGAAGTACAGTGTCTGGATCGGTGGTTCCATTCTTGCTTCCCTCAGCACATTCCAGCAGGTATGGGATTTTTTTCGATTTCTCCTATAATTCTTGAAGTATACAAATTTGAATCAAAGACTGATATTCATAAATGTGTTGGTTATAGATGTGGATCTCCAAGGCTGAGTATGATGAGGCAGGTCCAGGAATTGTTCACAGAAAATGCTTCTAAGCTCTCAAGATCAAGGCTTAAAAAGTTGGGTTTTTATGAATGGGATCAAAGTTTCTTTTTTCTTTTACAATTTGCTTCTCCATTTGTTTGTTTCATTTCCCTTTTTGTTTTCGTTTCTATGATGCACTTGTGTGTGACAAACTCTCTGGGTTTTTACTTACGTCTGCGTTTCAAAAAAACCGCTTTCGTTTTGCGTTTTAGTCCATTGTTTTGTAGCTCTGAGTGATCGAATTGATGCCTCTTTATTCCTTTTGTTCGCTATAATTTCTTTCAAAACTCAGAAGAAATACCTTGAAACTCTTTGCAATGTTAATATAAGTATTGTATGAGATACGATTTTTATTGTTTTAGTGTTTAAAGTGTTACAGTGTTACTTTGCAACCTCCATCTACAACTTGGAAACGAGATTCTGAAATGGTTGAGGCGTTACATGTTTTCCATTCACAAATGAACTTCAACTAGCACAGAGTCAGATAATTAAGATCGCACCATTTTATATAACCCCAGCAGTCAACTCTCTACTGTTTCAAGTTTTACATCTAAACTATTACGATGTGTATCACAATATAACAAAATAAAAATTGCAAGAATTTCAAATTGATCTCATGCACATTTGGTTTATACATGTTGATTCCAAAAAGTCAACTCGTTGAAGAATTAATCAATACTCGAAACGTGTTCCTTGGGCCCTAATAATGTCCTATTATTGATGCTTAAATATCACATATGGGCTAGTAGATTGGGCCTTAGCTTTAAAAAAGAGGAAGTAAAAACTTGAAACAATCATCTTCTCCTTTTCTTTTTTTCTGGTGGTCGAAACAATTATCTAATTACCAATTAACCCCAATCCTTTCTCTCTTTCGCGTCCCTCCCTCTCACAATCCTGCAAATTTAGGGTTTAAGCAAGAAAAAAAGCTAGACAAGTATCGATCTCTTCTTTCCTTTGAGATTTTCTAGTGCAATCGTAACCTCCGAAGATCCAAGATGGCTCGTAATGAAGAGAAAGCACAGTCTATGCTCAACAGGTTCATCACCCAGAAAGAAGCTGAGAAGAAGAAGCCAAAAGAGCGTCGACCTTTCCTTGCATCTGAATGCCGAGATCTGGCGGAAGCAGACAAATGGAGACAGCAAATTCTGAGAGAGATCGGAAGCAAAGTGGCTGAGATTCAGAACGAAGGATTAGGAGAGCACCGACTTCGAGATCTAAACGACGAGATTAACAAGCTTCTCAGGGAGAGATATCATTGGGAGCGGCGAATCGTTGAGCTAGGTGGTCCGAATTATTCTAAACACTCTGCGAAAATGACGGATCTTGAAGGTAACATCATCGATGTACCTAACCCTAGTGGTCGTGGTCCTGGGTATCGTTATTTCGGAGCTGCTAAGAAACTTCCTGGAGTTAGAGAGCTTTTCGAGAAGCCACCGGAGCTGAGGAAGCGTAAAACGAGGTATGATATATATAAAAGGATAGATGCTAGCTATTACGGGTATAGAGATGATGAAGATGGTATTTTGGAGAAATTGGAGAGGAATGCTGAAGGAGTGATGAGGAAAAGATCGGTGGAGGAGTGGCGGAGGTTGGATGAGGTTAGGAAGGAAGCTAGGAAAGGTGCTAGTGAGGTTGTGAGTGTTGGAGCTGCTGCTGCTGCGGCGAGGGAGGTGTTGTTTGAGGAGGAAGAAGATGTGGTGGAGGAGGAGAGGATGGAGAGGGAGAGAGAGGAGGAGAAAGAGAGGGAATTTGTGGTTCATGTTCCGTTGCCTGATGAGAAGGAGATAGAGAAGATGGTGTTGGAGAAGAAGAAGATGGATTTGCTTAGTAAGTATGCAAGTGAAGATTTGGTTGAGCAGCAGACTGAGGCTAAATCCATGCTCAATATTCATAGATAGAAAGGTGATCATCTTTTTCTTGCAAGGCTTATTAGGCATATCATAGTATAATGATATTATCTCTAGTTTCCTTTGCAGTTCTTGATCGGAAAATTGATTGACTTGTTGTGTTTTTTTAATAAATTTGGATCAGTTATGCTAAAAACTTGTTGATGTTTCGTATATTATTACATCCTAGATTATGTTCCTAGAGAATTTGCTGGATCTTGATTTATATTTCCTTAGTCCTGGTTATTTTTTTCAAGAACATCATCAGCTTAGAGACCGTGAGTTGACGATCAATCTATAACAACAACGTACATTCTTGCTTCGTTAATCAAGAGTTTCACTGACCCGAGTAATTGACCTAGTATTGAGATTGGTATTAGTACCCTTGTATGTGGAGCTAGGATTTGCAGAAACTGTTAGAACTATGCATAGTTAGTGGCATGCATTAGGATGTGAAGGAATTCTTTTTATATCTTCTATTGAATTGAATCTGAGAGGCTGATACATCTCTATGCTTCTCAGATGCGCTGTTTTACCAACAAACTCAGCCGCGCTGGTCTCTTGCCTAAAGAAGAAACGTTGTTGGGCGTTTGAAATACCGATTTTCTGGAAACAAATATGAAAGACTCAAGGAGAAGAGACAATGGCACTTGGAACTGAAATAGTATTCTCTTATGTAGCTCGACTTTTGTATCTTTATACTTAAGAATTTCTGGCAGACTTTGCACAAAAAAAAAAAAAAAAAAAAGAATTTCTGGCAGACATCCTGATTAGATCACTGAATGTAATGCTCATTGCCTGAGGTTTATGCATCGTTTCCTTTGTCTCTAACTAGATTGGTGTTGCTATGCAGAGACAACCACAAGCATTGTTCTGGTTTTATTTTACTGTCTCAGTAAAATATTTATTGAATACGGACAAAAAAGTCAAAAATCTGAACTAGACCGTTGAGATGGATAATACTTGTCTAGAGATACGAACCACACCCACATGTTCTCTCCTACACACAATCCCCAGACCATCTCTCTCTAACCAACAACACTTTTTCTCTCTTCTCAGTCCCTTCAATGGCGGACTACGACGACGAAATTGACCACAATAACCAACCTTTCATCCCCAAAGAAACTGCTCTACAAGCTCTAAACTCAATAATCCAGCTCCACTTCGAGAAAACCTTAGAGAAAAAACGAGCCATTGACCATCAGAAGAAGAAGCTCCACAAGCTATTTCAGCTCTTCTTCATCTTCCTCGCCGTGATCTTCTTCTCTCTCTCTCAACCCTCAGGTCGTCTTCACTGTCGCCATTGCTGGGCACCCATCTGCCTCCTCTCCTTCTCTCATCTCTTCTTCTACGTCTCCGTTGCTCAAACTCTCCGATGCATCAACGGCTTCAAGTACCAGCGTCGCTGCCACAAGCTCACTCTCGGCCTCGCCACTCATAAGCTCCGTTTCATCAAGTCAAGAATCGCCGCCGGAGATTTCCTTGGTGGTGGCGACGGTGACGAGGCCTCGGCTGCTGCTTGGGATCTGGAAGTTCCGTATCAAGAACCACCAGATAGCTACTTTGGCAAGTTTAAGAGAAATTGGGCTCTGTATTTTGGGTTCTTGATCCTTCTTTACACTTTCATGATCTCTTTCTCTGTCGTTATCCTCTGTTTCTGAGATCTCTATGGTGGCATTTTCGTAAATTTCGCAAAACCCATCATTCATTAGTCTTCAGCTTTAGAGTGATCAAAGTTAGAATCTTTGAGATTTTATTCAATCTGGGTTGTTCGGAATTACAATGATTTTGTCAAAAATATGGAAACTTTGAGATTTCATTCAATCTGAAGTTGTTCAATTTCTTCTCATACCTCACTTGTAAAATCCCAAGTTACTTGATCGATAGATGGAATTAAGACAGACAATTAGCATTAATAAATCAATTAATCACAACCAAAAGTTTGAATTTTTTTTTCACAGACACAAACACAAATCCAACGGTGACAAAAAAATAAAAAGAGTTAAAAAAAATTTCATAGGGAAACAAAACACAAAAACACAGCAAGGTAGATTGTTTTGAACTAACAGCTAAATCAAAGCTCTCGGCTAGGAGTGGTTTTGTTGTTGTTAGCTCCTCCTCTACGAATCTCCTCGCTGCTCGAGGAAGACGGGTCAAGCCCGTATTCGCTCGTGTTCCCGTACTCGCTGCTTGCACCGTACTCATGGCTATCCAAGGCCACTTTCCTGAACTTCTTCATATCCGCACTGTAAGTGCTTGAGTCATAGTCCGAGCTTGATCCCCTCCCGAGGAATGAGCTTTGCCCCGGTTTCCCTCCTTCGTTTAGATCGTCTAGAGATGCATCTCCCTCCAGAGCCCGAACAATCTGTTTAAAAAATGGACCATTGTGATCATTTTCTTGTGTGCAAAGTATATGTTTCAAAGGGTGGTCATGTTCAAAAGTAAAACTTGCCTGGCTCATCTTAGGCCTGCGTCTAGCTGAGTGCCTGATGGCTGCAGCGGCACAAGCCACCATTTGTGCCATCTCATGAGGCTCGTATTGGTTCTCGAGCCGTGGATCAACTAGTTCACTGTAATCTCCATCCTGAGCTGCGTTTAAGCACAAGGGTCTTGCCTGTGTAAAAAGAGTAACCAAGTTTGCGTTAGCTCACAAGATTCTAACAGAGGAACCATTAATGTGTATATTTAACTATATGGTTACGGACCCAATCGACCAAACTGTCTTCCATTTCACCAGTGAGATCAACAGGTCTGCGTCCGGTAACGAGCTCAAGAAGCATCACTCCAAAGGAGAAAACATCGGATCTGTCTGTCAGCTTCCCGCTTGACGCATACTCTGGAGCCAAGTACCTGTCATTTGATTCACAATTTGAAATTCTTGATTAGAGAAACAGATCCTTGGATGCGATTATAAATCAAGAATGTTTTTGATATAGAAGCAAGATCTACTGAAATTTGCAATAACAGTTTTCATAAGCTGGTTTTGGCATTCTTTATTACCCGAAAGTTCCCATGATACGAGTGGACACATGTGTAACATTGTCTTGAGATAGCTTCGCTAACCCGAAGTCTGCAACCTGTAGATTTGAGCCAGTCCAGTTAGAGAAAGAAAAAAATACCAAAGAATCTGAAAGCATTATGATTTTAAAATCATAAGAGCGTACCTTAGCTTCAAAGGATTCATCAAGAAGAATGTTTGAAGCTTTAATGTCTCTATGAATGATTTTTGGATGACCTAAGTCAACAAAGTCAAGAAAGCAAAGTTTGGTCACATCCCTAATTAAACCACTCGAGTTACCCAATAAGATCGAAGAATTTAGATTTTTGTTTTGACTCACAGTCTTCATGTAAGTAAGCAAGTCCTTTAGCTGATCCCAAAGCAATCTTGAGTCTTGTAGGCCAGTCAAGAACCTTGCCGCTTTTCCCATGGAGATGGAACTCAAGTGTGTCATTAGGTAAGAACTCATAAACCAACATCCTCTGTCCTCCTGCAATACAATATCCAACAAGAGAGACAAGAAACCGATGATGAACTCGACTAATGATGTCGACCTCAGCCTGAAACTCGCGCTCTCCTTGCCCACTTCCTGCTTTCAGACTCTTCACCGCAATCTCTTTCCCATTGGGCAGTATTCCCTTGTGAACATACCCGAACCCGCCTTGACCTAACAATCTTGCTTGAGAGAAGCCTTGAGTTGCAGCAGCTAGCTCGTCGTAGGTGAATGTGCTCTTGTTGAAACCTAGAGCCACTGAAGGGTGAGGTGGTGGTAGAGACGGACCATGTGGTCCTGAGTAGTTTGAGCTCATGTCGCTACTGTTTCCGTTCATACCGCCTGAGACAGGTGGTGGTGGTGGTGGCGGCGACGGTTGCCAGCTTCCTGGTGGTGGTGGAGGCGGTGAATTCATCCAGTTATTATTCCCGTTTGATCCAGGATATTGCTGAGACAGATTCATCACGTGATCGCTCTGGTTATTGTATTGCTGCTGTTGGTATTGATCACCTAAAATAAAACAGAGATTTGTTTTCACCTTGTTTCTTGGACAACAAGAAAACGAAAGAAAATCATGATATTGGTTCTTTGGGTAACAATATTTCGGATATTTTAAAACTCAAAAACTGTGCCCGAGACATGGTTTTTCTATCATATCTCTAAAGGATTGTGGAATGTGATTCGAAGGTTCTTAAGAAAATGTTAGTCTATTAATTAGCTTGGTGCACAAGAAAATGTTCTAAAGTAGAAACTAGGTTAGGATAGGCTAGGTTTGATGGGTTTTATATTTACCTTTGCCGGTGGCGTAACCGTTGCCTGCATAATACGGCATTTGATGCTTCTTTTTCTTCTTACGACAGCAACAGACGCAGAACAATATCATAACAAGAAACAACAATCCAGCACCAGCCACAATTCCTACGATAGCAGCCGTGTTTGGTTCATTGTTACTTGAGGAGTTGGAACCACCACCGCTTGATCTAGGCGGAGCCAGCGCTCTTGGTGGGGACGAAGAGTTACGGTCAGAGTTTCTCGAAGGAGGCGGAGGTGAACGGTTGTTGCTTCCTCCGCCATTGTTTTGGTTGTTGTTGTCATTGTTGTTATTGCCATTGTTGTTTTGGCCATTGTTGTTATTACCATTGTTGTTGTTGTCTTTGTTATTCCCATTGTTGTTGTTGTCATTGTTGTTGTTACTACCATTGTTGCTATTACCGTTGTTGTTGTCATTGTTGTTATTACCATTGTTATTGTTTCCTTGGGGAGATGGTGGAGATTCTGAGCCTGAAGAAGGCGGCGGAGGTGAGGAAGAGGAACCATTGGAGGAATCATCCGGCGGAGGAGGAGCTGGTGGTGAAGGAGAGGAGGAATCAGAAGGCGGAGGAGAGGATTGTTGTTGATTGTCGGATGATGACGGAGATGGTGGTGTAGGGGACGGCGGTGAATTCTCCGGGGATTGCCCCTCCGCCATAATCTCTCTTTCGGTGTTTTCTTTTTGTATATGATTTTTTTGGTGAAGCTCTCTCCTTTTTTTTTCTTACGAGAAAGAGATAGAGAGAGAGATGAACAAAGAGAAAACACAAAAGCTCTTTGTGTCTTTCAGATTCTATTTTTAAAGAGATGCTTTCAAATTTTTTGTTGTTGTTTCTGAATTGGTAATGTCTTCTTTTTGTAAGGTCTAAATTTGGGTATTAATACAGCCATGCAAATTATGTACCTACATCTAAATTTGTAAAACAACAAAAAAATTTACAGTAGAGACTTCGATGTTTGGGTTTTATTTACCCAAAAGCAAAAAAAAGTCAAAAATAAATAACATAGAGCATGCTCTCGTTGAGAGTCGAACTCAAGACCTCCCGCTTACTAAACGGGTGCTCTAACCAACTGAGCTACGAGAGCTGCTTGTTGGTTACATCCAAAAATTTAATTATTAACAAGAATTATTCACTTTTAACAAGAAGACAAAATATTAGTCACAAAAGAAATTATAAGACAGATCAGGAACAGCTTAGAGACTCTTGAGGGCACACAACACCGTCTTCTTCCACAAAAAATATCACCAGAGATCGCCAGAGTTTTCTTCAATCAATCTCTCTCCTTAAGATCCGATTCGATGCCGTCCCGTAGACGTACTCTCCTGAAAGTCATCATCCTCGGTGATAGCGGGTTAGGTTTCTCTTGAGATACTGTTTTTTCTTATGTGATTGTGTGCTGGTGATTTTGAGTTTTCCGATGAGTAATTTGGTGGTTTCGTTTTCTGGGTTTTTGAGATTTATGTTGGATTTTGGTCTAATTGGTTTCCTTTGAAGTTTGGATTCGATATTATTTGTTGATCTCTTAGATGACTTGCTGAATTTTGTTTTCTTTGTTTTGGGTTTAATTAAAAACTCAAAATTGATCTGATTTTTAGGTGATTTTAATTAAAGGTTGCTTTTTGTTTTCATGGAGGTTTTGTTTGATCAAATATCAGAAACTTTTTTTTGGTAAATTTAAGAATTGAGTTGATTCTAGTCTCAAACATAGATAAGACTCAAATTTAAGAATTGAGGTTTGGTTTCTTTTAACATTTTGCATGTTCTTGTCTGCATCTGATTTGTGGTGACTGAATCTCTGCTTGACATTCAAGATCATGTTGGTTTTGTTACGCATTCGTTTCGACTATTTTTTTCTTGTTGTTTCGTCATGCAGTAGAAAATGTTTGTGTAATGATTACATGAAATTGGTGTCTATCCTAGATCATCTCTTGTTATCTGATTTTGGACTTCTCTCTAACTTGTGGTTTTGTAGGGTGGGAAAAACCTCTTTGATGAATCAGTATGTTAATAAGAAGTTCAGCAACCAGTACAAGGCAACCATTGGAGCTGACTTCTTGACCAAGGAAGTTCAGTTTGAAGATCGACTTTTCACTTTACAGGTTCTTACTTGTTACTAGTGCTTTATTAGTCAGTTACTCAATATTATTTTGAAGTAAGATGCTTGTGCTTAGCTCAATGGGGCTGGACTTGTATTCAAAACAGAGTGAGTCTCTGAGCGGAAAGTATAAGCTTAGAAAAGTTAAATTAACTAATAAGTTTCAGACTAGCCTTGTTTGTGAACAATGTACATACATTTGTTCAAGTGTTGTGTCTCATTCCATACCTGTCAACCTTTCACATTGGTGTGAACTGCCTTTCTTCCTTGAGCACACTTGTTCCTGTATTTACTTTGTCAATGTGTTTCTTGCAGATCTGGGATACAGCTGGACAGGAAAGGTTTCAGAGCCTTGGTGTAGCTTTTTACCGTGGTGCTGATTGCTGTGTTCTTGTATATGATGTCAACTCCATGAAATCATTTGAAAATCTGAACAACTGGAGGGAAGAATTTCTGATCCAGGTAACATAATCACGCTTTTTTTCACCCCTGTAGACAGAAGAATTTCACAATAAGCAACTCCATAATACTGAGTGTAATATCTCTTGCAGGCGAGTCCATCAGATCCGGAGAATTTTCCATTTGTTCTAATCGGAAATAAGGTTGACGTGGATGGCGGAAACAGCAGAGTGGTATGTGCTTGCTTAATTTTCCATTGTTGATGAATCTTTTATGATATGTAACATTAATGTCCAAATACAAACTCTCATTTGATCACAGGTTTCAGAGAAAAAAGCTAAAGCTTGGTGTGCTTCAAAGGGGAACATTCCTTACTTTGAGACCTCTGCCAAAGAAGGTACTAATGTGGAGGAAGCTTTCCAATGCATTGCCAAGAACGCGTTGAAGAGCGGAGAAGAAGAAGAACTGTAAGTTTCAAAAACAAGTTTTACATTATAGTTCATGACGATATCGGGGGTTTGGTCTCATTGTTATCGTCTTTTTCTCTTTCAATAGATACTTGCCAGACACAATCGATGTCGGTACGAGCAATCAACAGAGGTCTACAGGGTGTGAATGCTAAGGAGTATCACCAGAAGGAAACGAGGCCTCTCCTCCCATTATCTCTTTTCACAAGTTATCTCTAAACTATTATTATGTTGTAAATTTTTTCTTTTGTGTGGAAAAGGGATGAGAGAACAAAAAAAGAAGGAACCCTAAAACGAGATTTGTTTAGTGTTATTTGTGAGCTTTTAATTCATCATGCTTGCTATATATACTCTCACTCACTTTCATAGTAATATAAAGTGATGTTGCTTGTTTGCAAAGAAACACCAGTTAGCTATGAAGAATTCACATATGGTCAAAAGAACTAAAAAAGGGAGTATCAATTTTTGGGACAACTGATGAAAATTTGAGTTGATCTTATCTTACAGAATGTTCTTTCTAATTGTTTTGTTCAATTTTTTTTAGGTTTATTGAATTTCTGATGGATTTGGTCTAATCAAATCTAAACTTGTATATCTAATATTTTTCCGAAATAAGTAATGCAAAAAGAAAAGAAAATAGAAGCTCGACTTCAATTGGTTTTCATCAATATAAGGAAACTCAGAAAGTTGAAAATGAAAATATGGAAAATCAAATTATAAAAATACTTTTATATAGTAAACTTGAGTATTGTGATTCGTTAAACACTCCGATCCTCTCCAAGTTAAAAACAAAGCGAGATCAAAGTAATAATATTTTAATTTACTCGTAGAATTATTTTTTTTTTTTGTTAATAAAATTTAATTTACTCGTAGAATTGGAAAGGGTAACCCATGGTCTTTAAGTATATATATATACAATATGTTTTCATTTAACCACCAGACTAAGCCAATATGCCGGTAAAGTTTTAAAAACATATTGTATATATATATACTTAAAGACCATGGGTTAAGTTTTAACCGCAGTTAGTGCTTCCGTTAGCAAAGTTAACAGTCGTTAACTCGCAGGTACCAAATTACCAAGTTTTAAAAAACCATGCTTTTAAAAGACAACAAAAAATAAAGAAGGAATTTTTATTCCAATTTTAAAAGTACAGGTATTAAACGGCCAAATAAAAAATAGATGGCGGTTTTTTCGGGTTTTTTCCCAAGCAAAATTTGAGATCCACTATGAACAGTGGGAACGCATGAATTACACAGCGGTTCTCTGGTTTTATAGCGGTTCTCCTGTTTTCTTTTAATAAATGTTAAAAATATTTAAAAGAAGATGTAACAGATATGGTTGAAGTAATACAACACATATTATTTGGATAATAGATTAGGTTTTTGGTATCAGAAAATTACATGTCAAAAAAGATGTAAAATAATTTAAAATTTTTTAGTTAATATAATTAAGGGGTTGTGCAAAAAAAATCATCAAATGTGCTTCTTTTATTACTGATATTTTAATATTGAAAAACTATTACAAAATCACAAATGTTAATTTTGGTAACCCATATAAATATTTTCACACTTAACTGAAAAAACTACATATTTAAAATAACCATAACATATGAACTAAACCAAACTAAACAAAGAAAAGAGAATAGAACATTGTAATATTTAATTTTGAAATTACAGATGAACCAAATCTTAACTTATTCTAACAAAAAATTGGAGTAATAATTTAAATTACTAGAATTACGTATATTATATATTTTTACTTGTATTATCTAAGATCTCATCCCTTTTTATTATAATACTTGAATTAATTTATAGATATTTTTAGTGCATTTTGTTTAAATACATGTTTAAGAATATGTAAACCAATATTAATAATTTATTTTAATATAATTTTGAATATGTATAGTTTATGTAAAATATTTTATTTAAAATTAATGTTTTCATAAAATAAATATTTCATCCGCACTTTCTGATCCGCTTTCACCATTCAACATATATTTTGAAGCGTTCGAACCGCTTGATCCGCACTTGTAACGCCAGATCTGCTTGATCCGCTTTTGTTCTGCTTGATACGCTTGAACCGCTTGATCCGCTCCACCCGATACGCTTTCTCCATTCGGAGCCAATATTTCCTTTCCTTTGCAACGAATCTCCTTATATATTTTTTCTAAACTAAATCAAGATTTATCAAAATCAAAACCCTAAAATTTTCTTAGCTAATATATAAAAGCCTTCGACCTCGCATCGTCTTCACTTCTCCTCTCTCCGCCACGGTCACAAAAATGAACAAAGCGGAGTCAGCTCTGTGCTTCACAAGACCTACCAAGAAGAGGTAAAAAAATAGTCGTATGTCATCTTCTTCTTTGTCTTCATTTTTATTCGCTCTTCTTAATGAGGTTTAGGCTAATCTTCAATTTGTTTCCGATGGCTAAAGGTAATATAGTAAGTCTGTGACACTGAAAACCATATGAAATCTGAATCACATTACAAAACAGCCGTTGTCGATGGATATGTATCGAATCTGTTGAAGTACCATTGTCGGCACTTGAGGATGTCAAGTGATCAGCTCTCGTATTTCATGTCATAGTAATAGTCACACTAGGGTGATATAACGAGGAGAGAGTTATATCATCCTAGCGGGATTTTTTCTATGACATGAAATACGTTTTAGAACTTAAAACACTTGACCTTCTTAAGTGCTGATAATGTTTCTTAATTATGTTTTGTAATTAGATTAACTTAAGCTTTTATACTTCATATATTTACTCTCTCGGCTGGTGAAAGGGTTATGTTTTTTCATAATTCCCCAATGTGGAGAGTTATGAATCAAAGGTTTCAAGCGAAAATGATTCAAACTGTGTTAGTTCCTTTGTTGGAATCGTAGCATTGTTTACAATGTGTGAATGGTAAGGACTATTATCTCTAAATTATGATATGTTGTAAACAAATTATTTCTAGTAGTTATTGGTGTGCTTTTAAGGTATCATGCTTCGTTGGATCTTTTTGACATGTTCGTGTTGTTAAAAACTTGAGGAGAATAAAAGTTTGTCTTCTTATTTCTATACATGTTGTGAAATATTGTCTCCAAAACTAGTTGGTGATTTTGAGGCGTATCAATACAATTGTTTGCGTGTGGTTTTGAGATGTATCATTCAGTATCAAAACTATTGTCTCCAAAACATTTTGTTTCGTGTGGTTTCTCTTATTTGTGTTTCATTCACCAAAAGTGTGTCGTGAGTTGATTTTCTTTTAGGCATGTTAAGTTAATCAATTTCTATGATTTTTGTATATACTCTACCAATTTGTTTCGCTAATTACTCATTTAAAATTTGTTTGTTTCCCAATTTTTCATTCTTTATCATAAAACCCCATACCGTACAAATTACATATCTTTTCAAATTTTCTACGAACTTTGTGTGTCTTCCCTCCACTGCTTGTTTGTTCCAATCTCGACCTCGGGATTCGAAACCGTCTTCTCGGGGTTACTCTTAGGCTTATTCTTGGAATCTCTCCACCTGAAACCACTGAAAAGCTCATCCATATCCTCAAGCATCCTCCCTTGCGTCTCTGGCAAGAAAGTGTAAAAGAAAACCCAAGCTACCGTGGCAATCCCTCCGAACAAGTAAAATGCTCCACCGGTGGTTATGCCTTTCGACAAAGGAAGAAACGCCATCGAAATCACACCACTAGTCACTCTGTTCACCACCACACCCATACTCGAACCCTGTGATCTCAACCTCAACGGGAATATCTCCGAGCTATAAACCCAAGTTATCGGTCCAGCTCCAATCGAAAACGTAGCTACATAAGTCATCACCGTCGCTATAGCTACCACCACAGCCCACATCACTTTCTTCTCCGACTGGTCTATAATCGTTAGAGAAGTTCCTAAGGCCGCTAGTGATAGTACCATTCCTCCGACGCTGGTTAGAAGCAACGGTCTTCTTCCGATTCGGTCCAGTAAGAAAGTGGCGACTAGTATGAACGATGTCTTCACCACTCCTACCGCTACAGTCGCTAGAAGCTGTTGGTGATCGGTTTTCAGTCCGGCGGTTTTGAAAATTCGCGGTGAGAAGAGAACCACCGCGTCGATACCGGAAGCTTGCTGGAAGAAATGGATTCCTAGTGCAGCGATCATAACACGACGCACGGCTGGAGTTGGACGGATTAAGAGCTCTCTCCAAACTCCTTCTCCATGACTGTTCCTCTTCGACACCTGAAATTATTGAGAAATTAGGTCAAAATCTGGCCGGAGAAATTACGAATTCGAATTCAATTAATTGAAATTAGGTCAAAATGTGGCCGGAGAAATCGCGAATTCGAATTCAATTGATTAAAACTAGGTCAAAATCTCGATTCGGATTTCAATTGTTTTGAAATTGGTATGGTGTGTTACCTGAACGACGTCGTCGTGGCAATCGGCGGGAATACCGGCGGCGTGTTTGATGTCTTCGAGACGGAGAGCTGCTTCGGCGGGGGAATCAGAGGTTTTATCGAGAACGCGTTTGGCTTCGCCGAGACGGCCTTGCATAACGAGCCACCGTGGAGATTCCGGCATAGCGAGAACGCCGAGAGCGAGTATCACGGACGGTACGGCTCCGATTCCGAGCATGAGTCTCCATCCCAGTTTCAACGGAAAATTCGAGAAAGCCAGATTTGATACGTACCCGAGCATAATTCCGGCATTTATGAACACCTGTACACGTCACCATAACCACTGCCACGTCAGATAAAAACATAACAAGTAAAAAAGAAGAGGAAACAGAGAGTGTAATAATTTATATATACCTCCGGGAAGGAGGTGAGGAAGCCGCGGGAAGAGGCCGGAGAGACTTCGGCTGTATAAACTGGTGCGATCATGAGAGCATATCCGACGCCAATACCGGCGACGAACCTTCCGAACATGAGGAAAGCGTAGTTAGGGGCTAATCCCATAAGGATAGCTCCGACGAAGAATATGGCTCCAGCCAGCACGATAGTATAACGTCGACCAATCCAGTCGGAGGTTTTTCCGGCGGCGCAAGATCCTATAAGTGAATAGATGTTGAGGATTCCAGCGAGAATACCAATTTGTAAATCACTACACTTCAAATCTCTCTTTATATAAATCATTGCTCCACTCATCACTCCTATATCTGCAAAAGAAAAAAAAAAGACCTTAAAGAATCAATAAAGAATATGTGGAGTTTTCATTTTTTTGCGTTGACCGGATAAGAGATTAACGAGCAACTAACCATAACCAAGGAGGATAGAAGTCATGGAAGCTAAGATAGCACACGCGAATGCATACTTGTTCCTCTTTGGTGGTTTAGCCGGCAGAATTGACTCCGGCACATGTTTCACCGGTGGTGGCGACGGGGCCGTTTGGTTTTCCGGTGTGGAACCTGTCATTATGATATAGAATGGGGAGAGAGAGAGAGAGATAGAGAGTTGTGAGGATTGAGTATACTAAACAACAACTTGTGGTAATGAGCTGTGTCTTTTATAGAACAGACGTGTGTATTCAGAGTCCAATGAGACAAGGGCAAATTCGTCCGAGATTATGGGAAAACTGTCCTAAAATATCGATATCATTACATTTGTTTTGTGTTTTTAGTTAAAGAACATTTGCATGTTTCATTTAGAGACAAAACAAAAATATTACTCCCTCCGTTTCAGTTTAGTTGTCGTTTTAGGATTAAAATTTTGTTTCATAATAGTTGTCGTTTTAGGTTTTCAATGCAAATGTTTGGTGAAAATGAATGTTTTGTCATTAATGTTTTAATGTTTTGACCAATGAAAAAATTATAAAATATATTAATAAAGGGTAAAACAAAAAATTTAATGATTTTCTTAATTTGTGTGCAAAAACCTTAAACAACAACTAAAACGAAACGGAGGGAGTACTATATCAGTAGAACAAACGGCAACTAATGATACATTAATTTCAGTTTAATATGTAACTATGTATGTATTGTTGAATTATACTCTACCAACAAAAAGGACGACCACAATAATAATAAAAAATTGGAGGGCCTAAAGGTAATTACGAAAAGGATACTTGTTGTCCATGACTCCATGTGAGCTTGTTGACTGTTGTTGTCGACTTGATCTTGAGGATTGTCATATATATAAGACAGCTCAATTAATTAATGTTAATTTATTTCAATTTGTAATCTCATACAAATATTATATCCTTTTGTAACCCAATGGTAAAAACAAGATTAAAAAAAAAACACTCAACGAGATAATTAATATGTTTGTTTGATATGATATGATATGATACACTGCCAATATTTTACACTAAGACTCGGTCCAATGACATTACAGAATTCTTTTTTTCTTCCTGTAAATCCATACATATTAATGAAGAAAGATATTAATTGCCTATTGTTTTCTTATGAATCCGTAAGTGCATTTCACTCTCCGCACCTTGCTGCGAGGTTGTAAAATCAGAGTTTAGCCAGAAATGAGAGTGTTTCCACTTAGCTAATGATGGCGAAAAACACTTACATTACACATGATGACGAGGTCAAGAAGAAACTCGTTTTTTTGGTTAAAGGATTTAAGAAGAAAGAAGAAACTCGTTAATGCATGTAAAGTTTGTAAACACTAACTTGAATTGTAACTTTCTCATGCTTATAAATGCAAAATTATTAATCTCTCAGTTTCAAATTCTCCCGTAGCTTTAAATAATGATTATATACATGCACGTTTTTCACGTATAAGATCAGAAAATAAAATCCGATAGATTGAGGACTCTAAGTAAACTTATAGATTTCATTTTTTCACAACTGAAAATTAAGAGAGGTTTACTATAACGAAAGAATTTTCGGTTTTCTAATAAAAATTTAGGTGTGTTTATTATTTAAAAATGTATATATACTATGGTTCCTTCAAGGAAGCCGGGTCAACACACATAACAGTCCAAGACCACATGTATTGATTCCCGAAGACGATAAGAGGTAATTAATCACTCTAATAATAATATTAAAAGATTCCTGCAAAAATTTGTGTTATGATATTTGTTTGTATATATATGATCATTTGTGGATACTTGCAAGAAACAATCAAGCAGAAGTCGTTGGCTTACGAAAGCAATCGCTGTTATGAAGACTATGAATTGTCAAAACAACTTGCGTCTACTTGTAGACTCTTTTAGTTTAATTACAGGCAAAAAAATATTAACTAAGTGATAATCAAAAGTATTTTGTCCTCTTGAGATGTCAAATATATACTCGAATAATTGAATCGTCAATTCTTAAACTTTGGGAGTAATATGAATACATGACATATTGTGCACCTAATTCAGTTTAGTGAAAATTATGAATTATCTTGATATTATTTTTTATATATCAAGAAAAATCTACAGTGCATATAGACTATATAGAGAGCAAATACATGAGAAATCCCGTTGGTTTCTTCTCGATGACATCAGTTTCTTCAATTTCTATACTATATATCTTTGGTTTCTTCCGGATAACATAAGAGCCACGATTTATGAAGACATCAGTTTCTCAGCTTATCATATATACTTTAGTCTTTTGTGATCTTTCTACTAATTTACTATTATTTTTTCTGAGTGCTTCCTTCATAATTCGTGGTTTTCACTTTTTTTTTTTTTTTTCTAAGCTTGTAAATATCATTACAAATGAAGTTGAGGTTTTCACTTCTCTCACTATGATAATTAGCGTGTATTATGTAATGTTATGGTTAATATTTTCATGTAACCCTTATGACTTATGACAAACGACCAAAAAAAAATGTAACCCTTATGACTTATGAGCAACGATTTAACAATAGTACTTCAGTGTGTGAAATTATAGTTATCAACTTACCATATTAGAAAGAAACAAATCCAATAATTGATAAAGTAGCAAAATGGTGAAGTGGGCCAAATACTAGAAGAAAAGGCAGCCATCATAGGTGACCATAATATCGGGCAGCTCGTAATTTTGGACTTTTTATATAGTATGACCCCATTATCGCATTTCCATATGTGATTTTACACACATAACTGATAAATCGTTTTGGTTTCAAAAAAAAAGAAAAAAAAAAGTGATAAATCGTTTTGAACAAAAAAAATGATAAATCTTAGTATTTTTTTTTTCTTTCTATGTGACTCTTATCAGAAAGTTAACTATTTTCCGTATCAACTAATGCATTAGATAGACATCAGATAAATCTTATCTATCATTTAATGCATCCCTTAACAAATAATAAAAATGGTCGGTATTCAAAATCCGTTGACTTCAAAGTTGACTCCGAAGAGTAATATCTATGCAGTTGAGTTGGACCATCGTTCAATAAGACAATACTTATTTGTTTTAAAAAACATAGCGTAGTCCAGAAATTCAACTATTTTCTTTTGTTAGCATTATTAATATAATTAATTAGTTTGTAGCATTTCTTGTTTAGAGATTTGAATCAAGACACAAAGAAGAATAACTTTCTCTTTATTAAGGAAACTAACTCAAAACCTTAATATCTCTCAACTCAATCTCTTAAGCCATACCACACCTTGATATGTGCTTATATAGTCACACCCTTTAACCTAATCATAACTCAATTAGGAAAACAATAGAATCTTCTAGATAACTCCTAGAGATTTAACATTTATCTTTATCACAATTTAACATTTATCTTTATCACAAACCGATAACTTGTGGTTTAAGTAAACTCCGGTTTACTCTTCAAGCTTAAACCAACATTCTCCCTCTTAAGCTTGAACTCAAATTTCTCCAAGTCTTGAACTCCAATGAGATCTCTCATCTCTTTAAACTTGATCCTTCCTAAGGCCTTTGTCAAAATATCCGCCTTTTGTTCTTCACCGGGAACATGATCCACCTTAACCAATCCATCCTCAACACATTCTCTTATGAAATGGTACCGTGTATGTATGTGTTTGCTTCGACCGTGGAAAACTGGATTCTTGGTAAGAGCAATGGCCGATTTGTTGTCTATCCAAATAAGAGCTTCCTTGTACGTCACGCCGGTTACTTCTTCAAGCAAATCTTGAAGCCAAATAGCTTGTCTTGCTGCTTCAGTTCCAGCCATAAACTCGGCCTCGCATGATGATAAAGCCACTGTGTCCTGTTTCTGTGAACACCAAGTGATGGGGCTTGAACTTTCACCAAGATAGAAGACATGACCAGTTGTACTCTTCCCATCATCTTGATCCACATTGTGACTACTATCACTGTAGCCTACTAGCTTTGGTATCTTTGAAGCAGACCGTTCATACGCTAAACCAAGAGTAGTAGTTCCTTTGACATACCTCAAGCATTGTTTCATTGCAGCTCCATGTGATTCTCTTGGTGACTGCATGTAACGACTAAGCACACCCACACAATAATTCAGATCCGGTCTTGTATGTAACAAATATCGAAGACAGCCCACACTCTTTCTAAAACTTGTTGCATCAATCTCCTTTTCTTCCTCGGCTTTGCTTAACTTGAGTCCAGCTATCATTGGTGTATGAACCAAGTTACATTCTTTCATATTGGCTTCTTCCAAAATCTTCACAGCATACCGGTGTTGTGTTAGTGTTATTCCTTCTTCCTTTTGACACACTTCAATACCAAGATAATACGTTAATCTTCCGAGATCACTCATTTCAAATTTGGAGGCCATCTCTTCTTTGAATCTCGAAATCACTTTCAAGTTTGACCCTGTCACAAAAAGATCATCCACATATACCGCTACAATGAGAATAAAATTCCCACTCACCATCTTACGATAGACCGATGGCTCCTTTGAACACTTCTCAAATTTGAGCTCCTTGAGAATTTGATTTAGCTTATTATTCCAAGCTCTTGGAGCTTGACGCAGTCCGTACAAAGCCTTATTGAGTTTATAGACTTTGCTCTCACTTCCCTTCTCTTCAAATCCCTCTGGTTGTGTTACATAAACCGTTTCCTTTAACTCACCATGAAGAAACGCCGTTTTAACATCAAGATGATGTATCTCCCATCCATTTGATGCTGCAAGATTAACAAGGAGACGTATTGTCTCAAGCCGAGCTACAGGGGCAAACACTTCGTCAAAATCTACTCCATACTTCTGAACATAACCTTTTGCAACAAGTCGGGCCTTGTGTTTGTTAATACTTCCATCGGAGTTGCGTTTGAGCTTAAAAACCCATTTCAAGCCAATCGGTTTTACTCCAATAGGTAACTCTACAAGATTCCAAGTGTTGTTCTTTGTTATAGAGTGAATCTCATCTTCACATGCTTGTATCCATTCCTTTGATTCACTTGCTTCATAGAAATCTCTTGGTTCATTATTTAACAGTAGGAGTACATGTTCTCCTTCCTCCTCCGCAAGCAACACGTAATCGTCTAAGTATTTCGGCTTTGTGATCTGTCTCTGTGTTCTTCTTAGACTAGGTTGAGCCTGAACGTGATTCTCCTCTGGTTCCGTTTCTTGTGTTGAGTCAAACAAGTCACTGTTATCTTCTACTTCTTCACCCGAATCCTCA